ATGTATGATTTGAGAATATTCACTGTTGTTAATCTAGATTGGTAGAGAGACTTTTTTGCTGAGGTTACTTTATGGCTGAAGCCTTCATTTTTTCCTTTAGCACCAGAGCCACTTATGTTAACATCCTTATACAGTAGTGCTTGTTAAATATATAGTGGATTATAAATGCTCTTACCGTCCATTAGTTTCAAGTTCTCTCCACTGTAATCCATTTCCCATGCCAGCAATAACTAGAAAGCATAACAGTGCACAAACCTCAGAAAAGTTTGAGGGATATGCAAAGTTTTGGGTTGACTGGAACCAGTTTATCTTTGCTGTCTTTAGGAGTCTTTGTGGTGGTTGTTTTTTTCCATTGTCACCTTTTACCTCAGTCACCCCACGTTTCCTGGTTAGCTGTAGTTCTAATCTGATTACACTAGATCTGAATTTTTTTCCTTATCTTATTTCATTGAGCTTCTCGTCATGTGCTGCCAAGCATATAAATCACATTGCTCTCATTGGCTGGTTGAGCATAATTTAGCAGTTGTGCTCTCCCTGTCTTTAAGATGTTAGACTGCTAAATTTGAGACATATCAGCTCCTTTGGGACAACTGGACTGGGTTGTGGGTTCAAAGAAAATGATACAAAGAAGGGTACATTCATAAGAATGGTTTCAGAAACCTGTCATTATGGAAGACACTGCATTTAGCCGTATGGAGTGGAAATCCATTAAATTTGTTAGTCTCTAAGGTGCCACAAGTACTCCTGCTCTTTATTCATAAGAATGAACATGACCACAATTTATGTACCTGTAACTATATGAGAACAATATGCGTTACTAAATCTGACAGTACCAATTCAGAATGATCATTTATAACACTTCCTATATATCCCATGCAAACTGTCTTTACACTCCCTTATCTGTTTAAATTTTTAAAAATGTTAAATAAATGGGACAAACCAATACCCTGCATCCAAACACCTTTAAACTTTGGGGAAATTCAAATCAAGATCTGATCTTTCTGCCTGGATTCCAACTCTTATTAAAAAACTAAAAGTAATTGAAAAAAATTACAAGAGGAGGGACTCATGGGTGAAATGGAAAGAGAAAATGCTTATATTTTCAGTCCTCTTCTGCTAATGGTGATATGATGGATTGCACAGTAATTGAGTTATAATCTATCATGATAATCTCATTGGAAACAATGATAATTAGGCAATAGTTTCTTCTAATGCTTCTGTTTGGAGCTGGGTGGCAAATATTTTTCCCATTTTGAAAGACTTTTTGAGATGGCAAAAAAATTTCCCATCCCAAAGCTGGACAAAAAGTAAAAAATCTCAAAATGTTTGCAAACTGATAATCTTGAACACATTTCTGGTTTGGGTCAATCAAAATATTTTGTTTGATAATTGTGGAACATTTCATTCAGATTTTTACTTTTTTTTTAACCAAAACCCTTTTTAGCATAAATCAACCTAATTTTTAAAACAAAATTGATATATGAAAGTGTCAAACAGGATGTTTTCACAATTTCAAAACTTTTTTTTTAGAAATGTTTTGAATCAGGAGAGTGACTGAAACTGACCCTTTCTCAGACAATTTTGGTTTAATGAATCAGCATTTTTTCTGATTAAATAAGTTTCATCAGAAAATTCCTGACCATCTGATAACAGTTGTACAAACTGACAAGCTCAGTGCAAAATGGGTTCACAACGTTTTGCATGAAACCTGGTTTGCACGGTTCACAGGATCCAAAGTTCTAAATAGATTGGGTGTGAATTAGCATGACTTTCCCCATTATGAACCCAAAAGCAAGGTTTTGTTTTGAGTGGCGCATATTCACTCAGATGCATCCTAAATGGTGTAGCAGAACCAAAATCTGGGGACTAGCTCTAATGCAATGACTGAACTCTGAACTCACGAAAACAAATTTCACCTTGTAGAACTGGAATACAATGATGTGAGCTAGATATAAAACAATAATGAGTCAATTCCCACTAAAGTAGGAACTGCAAAAGAAGTATGTAGGCATTATTGTAATTACTCTGCTTACTACTACTTCGTCACACCAATGAACTGTAGAGCTGGCCAAAAAACAGTAAAATTTTTTCAAGGCTCTAGAGTCAGTCTCTGTCTCTCTCAATCTATGCTGTGTATAAATAATTAAATATTCATTGGGCCAGGGACAAAGTGAGAGAGAGAGAGAGAGAGAGAGAGAGAGACTGACTTCTAGAGCCCACTGGTTAAGGCACTCACCTGAGATGTGGGACACCCCCTCAAGTCCCTCCTCTGAATCATGCAGCACAGACTTGAAACAAAACCAATTTCAAATAGTTTTGTGGTTGAATTTAAACAACAGGCACAGTTCTCTTCTTGATAAGCATACAGATAACTAAGCACGAGCATAAATTACTCCACTAAAGAAAAGCTGTGTGAAAGTGTTAAACAGATATGCATTATTTAGGAAAGTTTTCAGTCTTTTATCCCAAAAGGAAACAACTATTCACATCCGTTACATGTATATGATTGTCTGTGGGTTTGTACAAATTTGATAGTCTTTGATAAGTTTAAAAGTATTTTTGATTAAGAGGAAACATGGATCTAGAGAATAAAATGATCATTTGTTATTTATTATACTGAAATATAATACATGAGGCCACTGCCTAAAATGAAAAGTGGATACATAACATTTACAACAAATACTGATCAGGTCAGAGTTTCCTCTATACTGTACTTAAAACAATGTTGGCTTGAGTGAGGACTGCAGGATCAAACCCTATTCTTGTATTTACAAAAGTGTAAGCAAATCAATGATCTGCTAGACATTTCTTCTTACCTTTCAGTAACTTCTTTAGTTTTGCTTTCTCGGTTATGCTTCCCAAAGAATAGGTACAGTTTCTTCATCATCTCTCTGCTCCCTATTTTAGATACACAGCAGTTGTGGAAAAGGCCAGATGAGATGCTTTTTATATATTCATTGGTAAATCCAGATTTTGGCACTTTGTTTCAATTTCTCTTGTTACTTTTTGGTGAAGTACATTTGTGTGCTTTCTTTCAGAGTCTTTCCTTTGTGTATCTTTCTACAGAAGACATTTTTTTTTTCATTTTTCTGACATTTAAATCCAAGAGATACAATCAGGGATTCCCACCTTCCTTGCTTGTGCTTTCTTTTCTCAAATTAATCAAATCTTCTTTTTTACACACATTCCCACCTTCCAGCATTCTGGACATTCAGATCAGTGACGACACATTTTCACTTCTATTCCCTTTACAGGTTCAAAGTTTCCATGAGACACTGTTGAATGCTTCATCTTCATTGAGGAACTTAAGTGCATTATACATTATTGTGCCATTTTTCTCTTAGTGTTACAGAGCATAGTTTGCTGAAACTTCAGAATAAAATGAAACCTTCACATTCTGAAGGTTTAGAACTTTGTAGACACACCTCCCCACCATCATTAAGTGCTTGGGATATTCAACAAATCATTATACATACCCTGTGCTATGGAAAAGAAATACATTCTTCTGAAATTATCAGATGAATTAGTTCTACTTCCCATTTCAACTGAAGGAAAAACATCTTGGAATACAATGCTTCATTTCATTCACATTTATGTTTTCATCATAGACTAGTCTGGAACTCTTTTTAAAATCTTCCTTTAAGACATGTATTTAAATAACTACGAGTAACACATATACATGAGTGACGTATAAAACAGGACATGATCACTTCTTTACAGAAGCAGTTTACTACCTGCTTAGCAGGGAACCAAAATATATTCACTTTATCTGAATTAGTATACTGCTTTTTATGTAAAGCTGAAAGTTGTTTCAAGCAGCAGAGACGGGGCTTCCTTTAGAGAAGCCTGTAATTGTTAATTTTGTTTTAATTTTTTTGGCTTTCTTCTTAGACAGTTCTAATTCTAGCTTATAAAAATGTACAGCCATAGACATAAGAAGAGCAGACTCCACTTTAAGAAATTCCCATACATCTTAATTCATTGTCTAAAAGGGTCAAAAAGATTATATCCTCAGTCTTCAGTGACAAAATATATATTTGGGCTTCTAGAAATAGTAATGTCTTCTTTTTTATTTCACCTTGGTAACCAATGCTGTCTTGCTCAATAAGAATATAAGCATTTCTAGCTTCCTCAGTAGTCTGAAACAAGAAAATTTTCAAAGACATGGGATCAAAGGAAAGTATATCCAGGAAAAAAAAATAACATGCATAAAATATCTATAAGGTTCACATTCACAATCTATGATAACTTAAACTAGACTATTCATGTAATAGAGGATTTGCATTACGTTCTATTGAAATGTTATGTACAGCAGGAATTGTCCCATACAATGCCATCAATTAGATGATGGTATCCAACAAATATTTCCCATTATTTCCTTAAAGACATGGTCACACTCAACAGAATGGGAAATTTACATTCAAACAATGTAAGGTTCCCTGAGACATAATACTTTTAAAGGAAACAATTTCTGGCAATTAGATCTGAAAATATGACAAGATTACAGAAGTGACTCAGCCTAAACCAAACTCTGCATCATGCAAGCCTAGCTGGATACTGAAAATACATAATGGATTCATATTGAATAAGATTACTGAATAATGGCTAGCTATAGCAACTTCTTCATGCCAGAATATAATCTGCCATCATGGGAATACTGATAAACTGACATTATTTTTCAATTTTCTAGCAGCTTAGTGGGGTTGTTTTTACTTCTATAGTAGTTAGTGCCTTCCTTGTCCTTCCCTTTGCATGGAGAAATCTTAAATTAGAGTTTGTTCAGCCTATATACAGAGATCATTTAAGGATGCCTTATTCTTTTCCATACATTTCAAATTCTTTAGATATTTCCATTATCAAGTGACTCCCTGCTGACCTGACAACACTACAGATGCAGCCTGCATAGTGATAGCAGAGCACTGAAGGTTGACAAGAATTGGACCAGAAACAGGAGATAATCAGCAAACAAAATACTTACCATCTGTATGTGGGCTGATGAACTATGACCAAAGAATGAAAGCTAAAGAGAAAAATAAAAACAAAAATAAAAACTGAAAAGGAAATAGGGGAGGAAGGAGAAAAGGAAGGAAGGAAAGAAAGAAAGAGAAAAAGAATTTACAGTGTGTCTAGTGAGAAATAACCCACGGTTACAGACAAGAGGAAGGCAAAACTGTCATTTGAAAGGAAGAGAAATAAGTAGTGATGGGTGAACTTCCAAAGGTTCAGAGTCTCTGACTGCTCAACTGAACCTCTTGAGTCTGAAAAACTGAGCAGAATCTCATGAGATTTCCTGCACATATGCACCCTGTCCAGGCTGGAAGCAAGAAGGGCAGGAATAAATGAGGGGTGGGAGGAAAGCAATTAGCTCTTTTGAACCTTCAAAAAAAGGTTTTCTTTAGGTTTGGTTCTAGTTTTGGGTGAAAGTTCAGATGAATTGCTATTATATATGAACAGATTCACCCATTCCTAGAAATAAATGCTTTTACTGTGGTTTATTATACTTTTAGGATAAAATTCACCAGTTGGTGCAAGGCCCTCTATGTCATGAAACCCCTGATATTCCCGTGTTGAGTGGAGTGGAAGGGTGACAGGTGAAGTGGTCAGCAGGGGAGCCTCTGAATCTCCTTATATGCTGGGAAATGAGCCTCATGCCAACTTCAAATGTGTCAGGATGAGGAAGTGCTGATGACAGGCTGAGAGCAGTGTGTTTGGGACCTTCACATAGGAGATATGGACAGCCACACCAAAGGCTTGAGAAATGGCTGTAAAGGTGATGCTCTGCAATCCCCTGACCTGCTTCCAAGTTACATAGGTTCCCCTGCCCAAATCTGCATAGTTCTGCAACACCACGCCCATGTACTAGACATCTGTGTGAAAAGAGGTGAAGAGAGGAAAAATCAAACTGCAATCTTGGAGCATTCTTTCCCAGAAGGGTTTATTTTGAAATGCAAGATGCTCCCTTCCATGCTCCAGCATTAGGTCAGCCTGGACGTGATACATGCCAGACACTGTGCTAATGCATCTCCTCAGATATCTTCTTGCTTTTTAAACTCACAAGTTTATTTGAAATTATTATTAATTTTTATTATTTATTTGCACTATAGTAGCACTCAAAATGTGCATTTGCTAGGTGCTTCCCAAACAGAGAGAAAGACAGTGTCTTCCACAAAGAGTTTATGATCTAAAACCTCTCTCACATTGGCACAAGTTCCAATAAAATGACAACTGATTTGAAACTTTGCCCTAAACTCAAACCATCCCAATACACCTCTACCTCGATATAACACTGTCCTCGGGAGCCAAAAAAAACTTACCGCGTTATAGGTGAAACCGCGTTATATTGAACTTGCTTTGATCCACTGGAGTGCATAGCCCCGCCCCCCCGGAGCACTGCTTTACTGCGTTATATCCAAATTCGTGTTATGTCGGGTTGCATTATATCGAGGTAGAGGTGTATCTGAAAAGGTCTGGTAAACTTGTTTGTTTCTATCCTCATATGTTTCCGCACTTCCTGTTTTCAGCCAAGACTGGAAGCCCAAGTATTGAAATACCTGGGGAAAGGCCTCTGTCATTGTGCTTCCCATCCAATCAGAATACAGAGAACTGGTGAGAATAGGCTTTCCAGACCAAATAGCCATGGCTAAGTTTGGATAAACTTCAGAAATGCATCACCATTTCAGATGTTTAACTGAAGCAAACCTCAGTCTTTAGAGGTTTGTCCATCTCTTACACGAGATTTTGCAATAATACCATCTACACCAACAGCGCAAGAGTGAATCAACATTACAAGAACATTTATTTGCAACTTTACTTTCTTGATAAGGTTATTTTCTTAAGATATATGCATATATAGCCACATATATGTATATCTTATCATTGATGTTTCATTTATATTACCATACCTTTTCTTCTAATTCTTTTATCTGCCTTTTTTGACCTTCAATTCTTTCTTCTAGCTCCTTAATTCTCTGTAAGATGTAAACATAAAACAATGTGTTAGTAACAAAGTTTTCTGAACTGGGAAGAGAGTCTTTTTTAAAAAAAGGAAACTGTAACTGATATACTGTGGTTGCAAACTGATTTGTGTTTTCATTTGTAGATGTGTCCTGATCCAATACAATGACTGTATGAAAAAGACATTGAAAAAACAAACACAGGGCTCATATTGGGGATATAGCCCAGGCAAATAAGAATCTGGCCCAAAAGCTGAAGGTTATGAATGAGGTTTTCAAAACTTCCTAAGTGATTTGGATGCCCTATGCTGATTAAAATGAATGGGAAACTTTGTGTCTAAATCCCCCAGGTGACATTGAAAATCTCAGCCCTTACTTTTAACTTCACCCAGATACATTGGCTTGCTGGCAAAGGAACTGGACAAGAACTAAAGGAAACATTTGATTCACAAAGCTGAAACATACACTGATCCTCATTCAGTATAATAAAATAATAATACTTACCTCTTATATAGAAGTAAAAGAAGCAGCATAGCCAAGAAGAAAGGGACAGAGCTCACCTGTTCATTATGCTTAAAAATGAGGGAGACAAACCTCTTTGTATCAATGTGTACCTGCTGTGCATGTTGAATGAGCTCCATTCTTTCACGTAGAATCTGGGCATCTCTCTCTCGGAGTTCACTCATAACTTGTCGCTTCCATTGCTCTACAGCATTCTTCAGCTTGCTTTTCTCCTCTTCTGAAAGAATTTCAGACATTTTGGCTCCAGCTTCCTGCTGCAGGGCATCATAGAGCATGGCTTCTAATTCCAGAATTTGCTAGACAAAACCAAAATCAGGCGGTTAGCTTATCCTTTTCTCTTACAGGTGGGCCGAGGATTTTGTCAATGTTATTGAGAGCATGGCTTGTCCCAAGCAGTGACGCAACTGGAATTGATCTTGGCAGACTTGGTGCTGAACCACCTGAGAAGCATAGCCCATCAGGAAGGGAGCAAAGATTCCTTTAAGCCGCCTTCTTGTTGCCTGGACTCTGGGCTGCAGTGACAGCCAAAGAGGTCCTCAGTGTAAGTTAGAGCAGCCCCAGGACTGCTCTCATTTGCAGCAGCCTCTGCTCACCTGCCTTTGTGCATTCCAGAATCATGGTAGTACTGAGCACTACAGGCATGCACTATCTCTTACACTGGGGCACCCACTGCTATACCCCTTACACTGTTGAGCCCGCGGAATTGTCCCTGACTCTCTCTCTCCTCTATGTCTCTATACACTGCTGGAGTGGTGTACAGGAGCCAGGACTTGGGCACAATCAGCCCCACAGCATATTCCTGAAATAAGAATTAACATTCAATTACTTAACACTGTAAGGTTTCCAGATATTAAATGAGTATATTCTATCCTCTTCCAATGTACAGATGTCCCATTGATGTCAATGAGAGTTTGGTACAAAGAGTTAAGGGAGAATTTAACCCTAATATATAGTAGGAAAGGCACAAGGTTACAGTCCAGTACAAGGAAATTACTGTATGTATAATGAAAACTAACTTCCACTTAATGTCAATGCTTGAAGTCAATAGGAACTGTTTAAGTACTGCAGGATTGGATCAGAATTGTAATAAACAATGGTAACATCTTCCTTTATAGGACACATAGACAGACCCAAACTTTGACTTTCCTTCATATAATTTTCATCTAATTCTTTTCATGAGTATATTTGATTTTTAAATAATTGCTTCAACACTTTGTCAAACAAAACAAAAGTCTGCATCCTCACAGCCATATTAACAACATAGTGTAACATCATGAAAACAACAAACGTATGGAATCTCCATTTCAGTTTTGAGGTTCTAAGGGGTTGTTAATATTACAAACAAGGTTGGGAAATGACCCCGTGTTAAACAGTAAAAACTATTCTGCTACCTTGACGATGTATTTTTAAAATGTAATTTTTGTTGTTCATATACAGATTTGGTTATCAACATTGTGAGGAAAATATTTCCTTTGCTGATTCTAGCAGAAAATGTTTCTCTTAAAGGAGCAATATATAAAAAGAACAAGTGGCCTGACTTGTGTAATTAATAAACACATGAGATGGCGTATTCACTTTTCACCCACTGTTTGCTTTCATTTTATATTTCATTCAGCTTGAAGACTGAAAATAGACTGGTCAGTTTTATTTTTTTCTCTCCTCTATTTCTTGTCACTTTCACTTTCTCATGGCTGCACTAGTACAATTGCACCATGTTTTGGTTGCAGGGAGTTATTTAAATCCCAGCAGAAAAACATATTCATAGACATTTGGTGTGGACACAGAAACAATGAGACATAGACACCATAATATGATGAATTTCAGAGGGTAAAACTTTATTTAAAAATGATTACCTAACCAGGGTAAGCACCCGGAACTACCCAGCAGGGTTGTTCCGGTGCAGTTCTCAACTGGCACCAGCTGCCCCGGTGGACTATAAATCTCTGGGTAAGTGTGAAGGTCATGCCCCTTTATGCCCTCAGGCCTGCCATTGGACCCTTCCTGGAAACCAGCGTCCTGACCTGCTCCCCTCCTCGTCACTGGAGGCAGGAGAATTAAGATGAGGGGTTGCACAAGATATAGCGGTTTATCCTGTCACCATGCAATGCTATGTGCAGATTCAAGGCCCAGGCAGCCCACTGGGTTATGGGACCTGACATCGGATCCTTTCTGGCCTATCAACTGACAAATTTGAGACAACTGTAACTTAAATCCCCAAACCAGACCTACTGGATTTTGGGTGAAAGGTGAAAAAACCCACACAGCAGTTTGCCAATCATGCCATATGGGAAACATCTCTTCCAGACACCAAAACTGGCAATCACCCTTGACCCCAACATCACTACAGATCCCGCAATAAACTAAGGGTGGGGAGCCCACAATGGCTATCCCGCCGAGGCAGAAAGCTGAATTGACCCCTCTTGACCTCCACAACCGCCATTCAGGAGCCTCGTTCCAAACTAAAAGATATATCCAAAAACCAAGAATTTGTGAGAGGTTAGTCCAAATGTAGCCTCATTAGTATTTCAGTGGGGGATTTGTAAAGAGAAAAAGAGAGTTAGATGCTTGAATCCTGTTGACTTTCTCTGGGAGTTGGCCATTACACTCCAATTTGTGCCTTTGAAACTCTCCCCATAACACTACTGCCACAGAAAAGATCAGGGAAGCGACCAGAAACATGAGGAGAAAAGTGTCTCATTTCTGAATTGTATTATAAACCTTTTCTCCCTAATGATTCATCTTCTCAGCTCATCCTTTCCCCAAGTAGCTGGCATGGGATATATTGTGTAGCTAGGTTTGGAGAATCTAGCTATGAGCATAAGTGCTAGAACTAGGGGTGCTGCCGCAGAGTGGATTCCATCATATCCAGGGTTTACAGTTTGGTTCAATGGCTCTCAGCAGCCCCGCTATACAAATTGTTCCAGCACCCCTCGCTATGGGAAAGATCTATTAGGGTATCTAGTCCATCTCTCTGCCAAAGCAAAATTATTCCCTATTGTACATTTACTAGTGCTTTGTCCCACCTACTTTTAAATCTCCCATATGCGGGTGTGGGGACGGTGTTCCATCACTTTGTCTGGGAGAATATCATATAATCCAATAGATCTCACTGTCAGGAAATTTTTTCTTTTTCCTTTTCTCAGATTCATCCCATTGCTATATATTATGCTCCATTTTACTATTATAAATAATGCCTCTCTCTCCTTAGTATATATACTCTCCAAATTCCTGTAGATCTATGTCCTCCCTCAGTTATATCGTAGGATAGATAGATTAATAGATTAAATTTAATCAATAGATAGATTAATATATTAATAGATAAATAGATTAATATCTATCTATCTATCTATCTATAAACATGCAAGCTTTCAGTATAAATCAATCTCTCCATCCCACCAATTATTATTATTTCTCTTCCCTAAATTTCCACTAATTTGTCAATATTTTTATGAATAGCAATGGGACATAAACTGCTGAACACACAGTATTAGGAAGCTGGAAGTACTGAATAGCTACACAATACTTTGCTGTAGCCAGCCTACCAACTGCTAGACTTTTTGGTGGGATTATACACAGATAATGGAGAGGGAATGGTGCACTCACCAGGAATAAAAGTATTCTATGACTCCCTGGTAAAGCTTCATTCTCTAAGTTAAATGGGTAAATGCTTGATCTGGGAAGATTTCCATATTTAAATCAGTCTCTGAAGATAAAACAGTGAAGCAACATTGTTTTGTCTATGAAAATTCTGCACTGCATTCTGTGTACATTAGGTTCAGTCTGCAGGGATTTTTCATTTCATGCATCATTTATATAATCCCAGATACAAAGCATTCTGCATATGGCACAAGAGTGAGCAAAGATGAGCTCTGACCAGCTGGATAGTGGACACCAGATAAATTAGTTGCTGAACTACATGTATTTTCTCCAGAGATGACTACAGAGACTTCTCAGGCTTGCAATATTATAGTGCCTTCCATGACCTCTGTAGACCTTCCATCACTGAGATATTCCTTCCCTAATATTATGACAGATTGCATTGGGAGAATGCAATAGCTGACTCACAATATGCTCAACTGTGCTCAGAAATAGCACCAGCACACTAACTTTCTTCCTATTGCAGCTGATGTGGGTGGTGTCATTGTGATAACATAACAACAGTCTTTCTTTAGTTCGTTTTATGCTGTGGGAAGTTTGAGGAATATGTGAAGGGAAAGGAGTTATGACAATGCCAATCAATCTTCCCCTTTACTGCTATGCCCACTCTCAGAGTACTTCAGAAATAGGAAGCTGTTTTATAACTGCTTATTATATGCAGTTCTTGACCAGAGATGCTGTGCATGGAAGTTAGTCCCAGGAAAAGCTGAGTACTTGGCAAGATCAAGCTCTTAAAAAAACCCAGAGGACTAAAAAGGGTATTGAATAAAAGCTCCCCCAAATGTTCTCAAACCATAGCATGTATTAGACATTCAAAAGGAGGACTGAAGTATGCTTCTCAGCCCTTAGAAGACATGACCATGTCCAAGATACAAATAATTCCCAAAGCGCAGGAAAAAGCTATAACCGTGCAAAATATTGGTATAAATAAGTCATAAGTATGTTTAGCTAGCTTTTCTGGTGGTGCGAATCTATAGGTACAGCTGTAAATACGACCACAATTGTAGGAAACTGTTTACTGAGTAAGTAAAGTGGTCAAATTTAGGGGTCAGGGTTAGCTAATATATGCTAGGTAAACCTGACGTAAACTCAACATTTGTCCTAATGTAGATGCAGGGTACACCTATTTTAGCTAGGTGAGTTGTAGCCTAGGTTCCTGGGACAAATCCTGAGATAGAAGATTTATTTTTGGCGGGAAAAGAGAATACTCACAAAATATTGTTCCATCAGTTGCAACCTAGAATCTCAGCTATGTTAAACTGTTTGTACAATACAAACTAATAAATAATAACAACACATGAATATCTAAGGCCCTGATTTTGCAAAGAGCACCATGCAAGCATGAGGTTTGCCCATATGTAGCTCAATGCTGGATCAAGGTCTAAATAATTTGCTTACAATTCAATTTACCTACTCTTCCAGCCACTGGAACTCAATGGGAGTTCTGTATGCAGAAGGACAGTAGGATTATATAAGATAATTTATTAAAGGTAGCATAGGTCTACCAAGACTGACTTTTCTTACCTTGTGTGCTTGATCCAAAGACTGTTTCCTGTAGTCAAGTTCATCATCCAAGTAGCCCTTTTGTTTACTAAATAGCTCCTAAGGATGTAAAGAAGACTAGGTTATCTCAATTACTTTAGCAACAACTTGAATGACTGTTCTTTTATTGTCAAAACACCCCCTATAGTACCTTTTCATTCTCAAGATCTAGCATCTTTTGCTGTAGTGCAGATTCTGTCACTTCGATCTGCTGTAGCCACTGTATATAAAAGATAACAAGAGATTAAGTCCTAAATCTTAATAGATCAGTTTCCAGAGTCAAAATGATAGCACACAACTTCTGCCAAAGAGCATCGGGGGTAGCCGTGTTAGTCTGTATCTACAAAAACAACAAGGAGTCCGGTGGCACCTTAAAGACTAACAGATTTATTTGGGCATAAGCTTTCGTGGGTAAAAACCTCACTTCTTCAGATGCATAGAGAAGAAGTGAGGTTTTTACCCACGAAAGCTTATGTCCAAATAAATCTGTTAGCCTTTAAGGTGCCACCAGACTCCTTGTTGTTTTTGCCAAAGAGCATGTTCTTCTACTAAACTTTTATTACAACTCTAGCATACCATATGAGATACATTTAATTTAAAGCCACTAAGGGGGGCAGGTATCAAGCACATTAGATAATTATTATATACATTGATGACTGGGGGATGGACACTTTCCCAAAGCCTTGCAATATATCTTTTATAACTCAAATGGCATTAATATAAATTATGGTACTGTCTGAACATTATCTTTATATATTTTTCCCTCATAAATTACTAAGCTTTACAAAAGGATAATTGTGCTTAAAAAATTCTATCATTTTGTGAAGAAACAATTATTTACATTACCAATGTGCTCAAGTCAACCCATTCGGAGATGGGCAAAACTTTGTATAACATGATTTCACTTACTAGGGATGTATATGTATATGTATATGTTTTTACCTTTTCAGCCAGTGTCAGAACTGTCCTTGCTTGTATGACAACTACTTGCTCCTCGTTGGTCAGATTCTGCACCAAAAGGAGAATATAATTACAATAAACCTCAATGCCTTGGTATTGGTTTTGGGCAGCGCTTGCATTAAATATATCCAAACTTAAATAATATGAAATAAAAATTCGTATTTTAATAGAGAATATGGTTGTAATTTTTAAAGTTAATGCTGAGTTGTTACAGTAAAAAACTGTATTCCTAGAAGTTCTCATACACAATAATGTAAGTACACCTAATTCTCCTTAAAAGCTTCACACTTACCAACAAACTGTTGGCACATCAAAAAACAGCTGATTTTTATTAAGTGGCACTGTTTCCTTTCTTTTCCCAACTGGGGATAACCGCACAATTACACAAGACAACACATAGTAAAGAAAAGAAAAGAAGCAAATGTGAAAGTCCCAAAAGTGTTGGTTGTTGAAAATGTCTAATTAAAACCTTCTTTTTACTTCAGATTTTGATTAAAAGTGAACACACCGTCAATATGCATGTGTGTGTTTATTGCTGGCAATCTTTAAATTATTAAAACTACACTTATGAACTGCAAATGAAAACTAAAATATTCATAGATTTGAAATGGTTAGAATTTTGCATATTATCCAGCTGGCATGTTATTTTTATGCTTTTGCCTCTGTTGCACAAGCCTTAACAGACCACATTCTTTGTCAGTGTTAGCTGGGCAGCATTATGGCATTAGCATTATAGAAAGGCTACAGGGCACCCAGTGCTGAAAGCAGCATCTCAGTTCTTTGCTAAGCATTCTGGTGATGTCACATTGATGTATTAGGCCATGCATTGCACAAGAATGACGTCACCAATCTAATCTTGGGCCTGGACTCATTTGCACACTGAATATCAACATGTTCATAATATAAGTGAAATGTCTGGAGGAAAGAACAAAAAACAGGAAAGGCTCCAATGCCAATGCCCAATGCAAACTCCAATGCCCATAAGCAGTTCACTGAGTTAAATGGGACTGCTCACATCTGGCAGTCCCTTCTATGCATTAAAAGAAAACCAGTAACAGTAAAACCAATTAAAAAAAAATCAACAAGAAATAAAAAACAAAATAAAAACAGCCTAGGAATCAGTAGGTACTCTTAAAAAACAATAATAAAGGTGACAAATAAGTCAGGGTTTAACAATAAATAAAGAAAAATAGGAAAGAGTAAGAATAAAAAATGGTAAAAAAATCTCGCTTGTATTTTCCCTTCTGTCTCCTCCCTTGTCTGTGTATGTCTACCTAGGGTCCTACCTTGGAAACATTTATGTATGTGAGTAACTTTATGTGAGTAGTTCAACTGAAGACAATGGAAGTATTACTCACATGCATGGTTGTAGGATCAGCACTTACATAGTTAACTCAAACTTTTGTATGTCTGTAAAGTTGTTTATATACTCTTGGATACTCTATTATTAATAATGCTCATTCTTATTCCTCTTCTGACTCGTCTCAGCTGTCTGTTTGGTTCTGTGATCCTGGATCTGGGCAACACAAACCAGCCTGAACCTAGTGAATATGTACTTGGGGCGGTTATCCCATGCTACTGCTGCCCGTGCTAATGTGGCTACCCTACTATTTTTAGCATGCTAGCTCAGATAAGGGCTAGTGCAAGTATCAAGTATCAGAGGGGTAGCCATGTTAGTCTGTATCCACAAAAACAACGAGGAGTCTGGTGGCACTTTAAAGACTAACAGATTTATTTCGGCATAAGCTTTCGTGATCCATGCATCTGAAGAAGTGGGATTTTTACCCACGAAAGCTTATGCCCAAATAAATCTGTTAGTCTTTAAAGTGAGAGTATGTGAACTGGGAATCACGTCCGTAGCTCACGATGTATATGTAGCCTGAGAATGATCCAACAGCGCATGGAGAAATTATGACCCACATGGCCTAATTAGAACCTCACAGGAAAAGAGAGGCTATTTTAAAGTGCCTCCACGTATGCCTGGCTGGAGCTTTGTGGCTGGCTGGCAACATTCAACTCTGGGAATGGCTGAGCCATTACAAACATTGAATCTATCTCCCCTTGTAAGTATTCTCACACTTCTTATCAAACTGTCTGTACTGAGCTATCTTGATTATCACTTCAAAAGTTTTTTTCTCTTACTTAATTGGCCTCTCAGAGTTGGTAAGACAACTCCCACCTGTTCATGCTCTCTGTATGTGTGTATATATATCTCCTCAATATATGTTCCACACTATATGCATCCGAAGAAGTGGGCTGTAGCCCACAAAAGCTTATGCTGTAATAAATTTGTTAGTCTCTAAGGTGCCACAAGTACTCCTATTCAACTCTCACTTTCTACTGCAAAAGCTAAATAGAGGTTTCTTTAACAAACCTATCTCAGCTTCAGCAAAAGAAAGGACTGCAGTCCTGCTGGCTACAAGCACTAAAGATATGGCTACACTGCAAATGAAGGTGTGATTGTAATATAGGCAGGCATACATGTGTTAGCTTTAAACACATCATTTAAACATCACATAGAGGCTGTACTAGATGTTGATCAGTTGAAAACCCCTCTCTTTGCACCATGGACCTTGTCTCTGCAGGGCTGGTGTAGAATGTTAGTAGAAGAGAGAACTGGGGACCTGCCAGGTGAGAAACCATGCATCCATGTTTATGCAGATCCAGTGACTCCAGTTTCCAGCACAACCAAACAGAGAGTGTGTGGCTGCTACTTCAGCCCAACTGGAATAACAGGTGGAGAAATGGGCAGGGGGACTGTGCAACTGCCCTGTAGCTTGGCCCTTGGGTTAAGGGGGTGAATTTCACCTTCCCATTCTCCTTACTCTGAACCCATATAAAGGCTGTACCTCAGGCTTTATGTAAAAATCCAAAAACATATCAAAAAAGGAGTTTGACAACAATATTTAAAAAAAATAAATGAAAAGGATTTTAAAGTGGTGGGCAAAGGCTTTCCCCCCCAACTATTAAGTACCACCTCCTCTCTTCTTTCTGCTATTTAAACTATTTCTATTTAATGTATGTATGTATTTATTTCAGTTTAGAAGTGCCTATATCTAAGGCTTGAGGTGCCTTACAAAGTTAAAATGCAGTTATTAAAATGCAAAACCAAATAAATACAAGTAAGCAAATAAGCAAAGAACACATGAACAATGGAAAGATATAGTATCTTCCATGAAAAAACATGTTTTTTAAAAAGAATTTTACCAACCTCTGAAATTGAAAATCAAAGAGCCATGTTATAACATTAAGATGCTTTGTGCCACATCTGAAAGGCCCATTAACACATTATGTTAAGTTGCAGCGAGCATTCTGCCTGTAACCCAGTGCCTCAATAACAAACCAAAAAAAAGCCCATGCTCTAGATTGTCTTAATGCTACAATAATAAAAGCACAAATAATTAACAGAAACATGCACAATTTATTAAAGGAACATACACTTACGGCGTTATCCCCTAAAATGTCCAACTTTTTCATTAGCTCCGCTACTAGTATATCCTAACAACAAGAGAAAAGCGTACAGAAAAGAAGGAGTCAGAATATAGCATAACCTGATATGTAGAGGAAGCAATCCTAAGAAAGGGGATTACTTACCGTTACACCTTCTGCCTCACAGTAAACTTGGAGAGGACTTTTCCCCTCAGTAAAAGGAATGTGATGAAAGTTGATAGCAGGTGATCTTCTTTCTCTCTCCTAAAATAAAAATAATTATATTTAAGGAGATTTAATTTTAAATTAACCATCATATTGTACTGTAAGTTTCAGCTTCATTAAGAATATGTTATAAATATGGGCATTCCATAAATCGTACTCTGAAAAAGTAATACATCATAAATATGTAAATTACAGAGTGGCACTATCTATAAGAATCTTTATTTACTGTACAAAAAGGTGGGAAATCTTTCATTCTCCCTTTTATGGCTATTTATTCTAAGATGCAGAGGGAAAAGTGCTCTTTATCTGAGAAGTTGTAATGCTTGTGGAAGATTTCACTAGACTGACAGGCACTGAAGATCTCTGTTTATCCACAGAGAGAATAAATCAAGCTTACACAGTAATAATACAAGCTTTCTTCACACTGCTTCATCAATTTTCACCAGTCATGATTGTCTAGTCATTATTTTGGCTATGTAAGTGGGCTACATTTGGGTAGCCTGGATGTGTTTAAATCCAAAGGAATATAAATGACATCTGTTTGGGATATTACTGTCTGTGCTGTCTGACAAATACTGCAAACCAGCAGTGTTGTTCAAGCGTTGAAGGTCCATGCTCTCCATAAATTCTGCAAAAAGTCTGTGTGACCAAAAAAAAAAGCTCACCAGAATGAGTACAATGTGAAGGGTTGTCCTTGATCTGCATGTTGAACAATAACAGTATATTGCTGCATGGTTTTTAGCAATCACAACTAAAAACTCCTTAATAGGGGGGAGGGATAGCTCAGTGGTTTGAGCATTGGCCTGCTTAAACCCAGGGTTGGGAGTTCAATCCTTGAGGGGGCCACTTGGGGATCTGGGGCAAAATCAGTACTTGGTCCTGCTAGTGAAGGCAGGGGGCTGGCCTCAATGACCTTTCAAGGTCCCTTCCAGTTCTAGGAGATGGGATATCTCCATTAATTATTATAATTATTGTTCTGTGTGTTAATTTTTGATTTTACTTCACTGGTTAAATTTTAAAACAGGTATAGTGGAAGAATAGCAGAGTAAAAAGTCATCTGTGACATAAATTGGGCTCTAACTAGAGATTAAAGGTTAAGATCTTAAAAAACTTATGTAGGAAGACAGGTAGAAATCCGTATTAGTCAATTTTGATATGCTGTTCTTTTGGGGTATTTTTAATCCTCTTTTAGTATCACTGTGTACCAGTCATTGATGTCACTTTTAATGAAGAGCTCATCTTCAGTATAAAAGCAAAGGGGTTCCTCGAGTTTGGCTGCCTTCTAGCCTTAGACAACAAAATGCAGAAAGAGTGACAACGGTTGTATAGATAACTGTTGCTTACTTCAAGCTCTAATATTCTGAACTCCAGGAGTTCATTTTGATCTTTAGCATCCTGAACATCATGTTTTAACCGAGCTTCTTCTGTTTCCATTTGTTTTATCTGAAAAATAAAATTAAAGATTAAAAAAAAATGATGGTTCATTTCACTTTTATATAAAACCTAAATCTGTTAAGAATTCAGCTTCTCTGGGCAATGCTCGTGGCTTAAAAGCAAACATTCTGGATTCAGTGACACTTCAAGGTCACTGTACAAATCTTCTGGGCCCAAGGTGTGATTCTGTATTTCACAGCTCTGATAGCATTCTGCTTAGATCCTAGACACAGAGGAACAGGATTGATCAGTAAGGGCTTAATTCTCCAACCCTTACACTGTTTTTAATTAGATGACTACTCAAAGGCTACGTCTACACTACCCACCGGATCGGATAGTGATCGATCTATTGGGGATCGATTTATCACGTCTAATGTAGACGTGATAAATTGATCCCCGATCGCTCTGCCGTCGACTCTGGAACTCCACCACGGCGAGAGGCGGAAGCGGAGTTGACGGGGGAGCAGCGGCCGTCGATCCCACGCCGCGAGGACGCGAAGTAAGTGATTTTAAGTTGATCTAAGATATGTCGACTTCAGCTACGCTATTCTTGTAGCTGAAGTTGCGTATCTTAGATCGATCCCCCCCTCCCAGTGTAGACCAGGCCAAAGTGGGTACGGATGCAGACTCAAGACCTATATGTGTATTACAAGTCCACAGTAGGAATATTCTCTGCACAGCCTGATACACTGAATGAAATGAAGGGATTGCTGAGTAAATAGACCAGGGGTGTGGGAAATTCAGAAGCCACAGAGTGACCATCCCCTTAGTTCCCCTTATCAAGGAGTTCTAAGGTGGGTGAAGAGCTGCATAAAATGACCTTATCCATCCTTCTGAATTGTGGCATGATGAAGATATTATTACTGTATGAGAATTGTTCTGATTAGAGCTGTGTGGAATACTTTTTAAACATTTTATAGTGGTACTTAAATAATACTAACAAACCACATGCATTCCTTAAGCTTCTACAAATATAGAGTTTAAGGCCAGAAGGGACCACTAGATCATCTGGTCTGACCTCCTGTATATCACAGGCTACCAACACCCACACACTAAATCCAACAACTGAAATGAGGCCAAAGTATTACAACCCACAGGAAACTAGACTATTATTTGTCACAGGCAGAGATAATCCAGATAATTCTTCAACCTCCCTGGCCACACAATAGCAGATGTAAAGGTAGCCATCTTACAGCAAAAAAACTTCAGGACCAGACTCCAAAGAGAAACTGCTGAGCTCCAGTTCATTTGCAAATTTGACACCATCAGATCAGGATTAAACAAAGACTGTGAATGGCTATCCAACTACAGAAGCAGTTTCTCCTCCCTTGGTGTTCACACCTCAACTGCTAGCACAGCACCTCACCCTCCCTGATTGAACTAACCTCGTTATCTCTATACTGATTTATACCTGCCTCTGGAGATTTCCATTACTTGCATCTGAAGAAGCTTTCTTACCCACGAAAGCTTATGCTCCCAATACTTCTGTTAGTCTTAAAGGTGCCACAGGACCCTCTGTTGCTTTTTACAGATAATCCTGGCAACAACCCACACCCACATGCTGCAGAGGAAGGCAAAAACTCCCCAAGGTCATTGCCAATCTGACCAGGGTAAAATTCCAATTAGATTCTGAACATGTGAGCAAGAACCAGCCAGCCAAGCACCTGAGAGAGAGAATGACTGATGTCATTCAGAGTCCTGGCCCACCCTGTCCAATGTCTTATCTTCAGGTGTGGCCACCCCTGATGCTCAGAGGAAGGAGATAAAAAACCCTCCCAGAATACACTGGGGGGATCCCTTCCTGACCCCACCAGTGGCTGTCTGAAACCCTGAAGCATGAGCTTTAGGAACATAAGACATAAAGCAGAAGTGCGCGCAGGGCTTTGGACCCCTGTCTTTTACCATCACAATCAATCCCATCATACAATTGCATTCCTACATTTGTCCAGCTCTCTTTTAAAACTAATCTAGTTGTTTGCCCCCATTCCTGCACCCAGCTCCTATTGGGAGGGTGTTCCAGCACCTCACCCTTCTGCTGGTTAGAAACCTTTTTCCTAATTTCCAGCCTGAATTTGTTTGTGGCCAGTTTGTATCCATTTGTTCTTGTGCCCACATTTTCTTTTAGCTTAAATAACTCCTTAGCCTTCTTGGTATTTACTCCCTTAATGTATTTATAGAAAGCAGTCATATCCCGTCTAAGCTTTCTTTTTGCTAGGCTAAACAAGCCAAGCTCTTCCAGTATCCTCTCATAAGATAGGTCCTCCATTCCCCTGTTCCTATTTAATTTACTCTTTCTTGAACATGGGGGACCAGAATTGTACCCAGTATTCCAAATGCGGTTTTATCAGTGCCTTGTACAATGGCATTAATGCGTCTCTATCTGTACTAGAATTGCCTCACCTAGTACATTTTAGGATTGCATTTGCTTTTTTCATAACAACATGACAATGGTGGCTCAGTCATCCTGTGACTGACCCACACATCCAGGTCTCTCTCCTCCTCTGTCGCTTCCAACTGATGAGCCCCCAGCTTGCAACAGAAATTCTTATTATTAGGCCCTTAGTGCATGACCTTTCACTTTGTACTAATTAATTTAATCATCCAGATCTTCCTGTACAATATTCCGATCCTCCTCTGTATTGACAATGCCTCCCAACTTTGTATCACCACCAAATTTCATTAGCTCATCCTACCTTTTGTGCAAAAATATTGACTAAGGATGGTCGCAAGACCAATCTTCAAGGAACTCCACTAGTAACCTCTTTCCAGTCTGATAATTCACCTTTTAGCACAACCCATTGCCTTCTCTCCTTTAGCCAATTCCTTATCCACCTTACAATTACATATTGATTCCCATCTTCCCTAACTGAACAAATAATTTCCCATATGGTACCATGTCAAATGCTTTAATGAAGTTCAAGTATATTTGATCTATTGCAATTTCCTTATCTAAAAAAATCAGTGTTTTCTCAAAGAAGGAAATCAGGTTAGCCTGGCATTATCTACCTTTGGCAAACCCATGTTGAATTGCATCCCTTTTACCACTTACCTCTATGATTTAATTATTCTTTCCTTCACAATTTGTTCTAAAAGCTTGCACACCGCAGACTAACAGGTCTGTAACTGCCCAGATCACAGACAGACAGATTTATTAAAGATTGTTGCTACAGACCAGCAATCTCTTGAGTCAGTTCTTTCAGTATTCTGGGATGGAAATGATCTGTTCCCCTTGATCTGAGCACATTATGCTCTTTTCTTCCATCTCAGATGTGATCATTTTGATTTCTAGACACTCATTTACACCAACCGTACTGCCTTAATGCACATGTACCATATTAGCATCTTTACTGAAAACCGAGGCAAAGCATTCATTTATAGTTTTTGAACCACATCTAGATTATCTTTAATCTCCTTCCCAGCCACAGTACATGGCAGCCCAACCCCACCCTTCCTTAATCTCTTTTTATTTATATAACTAAAAATATATTAAATGTAGGAATAGAAATGCTGAGAATAAATACCTTTTCTACAAGTTCTTGATTTCTTCTATATAATGCTTGCTTCTCCTCAATCCACTTCATGTCCTTAAAATATAAATGATTAATATTATAGGAGAAACTGACAGTGCTGCCATAGTATATGATCATGTAATTAAAGACTGTATCATAATGCATACACAGAAGTGGGCTGAATTAAAATTTAACAGACAACCTTAATTCTGACATTTCCTTACTTTTTTGAGTGCTTGACTTTGCATCTTAAAGTTCTTTTAACATAGTATTTTGTTTTTTTAAATGTAATTGGAATATAAATACTCCAATTTAACAAAAATAAACATGAAAAATCCTGTCAGTCAATGAAATGAATGATGATTGCAATAAAAGTGAGATGTTAGGCACCTCCATTACAACAATTTAATAAACAGATAATAGCAATTATTGTATTTTGATTTCCATGCTTCCCAAGATTAACAAAGATAAAATAATTCATCCATCTAAAAAATAAGATTTATTAGATTGAAATGGGGGGAAAACAATTGGAACATAAGTTGCTCACTGAGATCACTGATGCTTTGGGCTGAGCTGGCAAGCAAGTGATCACATAGTTAAAGTTTGTAAATCCCTTTGGAAAGTGCTATGTGAGTGATTAATAATAATAATAAATATCTTCACAATTATTCTCTGAAGACACCATATATAGAGCATGTTTTGAACAATCAATTTTTCACTCTGCTGAAAATAGAAATCAAAATGTCTTTTTCCTACAAAATTCAGTTCTGTGTAATGAATTCATTCCATCTCTTGAAGACGTTTGTAACTGAATGATAATGATGGAGGACCCACTATATTCCATCACTTTTAAGATCTAGGGGGACCCTCCTCTGGCCCTTCCTGAAGGGGTGGGGGCTATTGAATAGAGAGCTACTATGGAAATTCTACTCCTAGGCTGGTGTAGTCAGTTCTCTTTTCCCTTCCCTGTCGGAAGGCATGGCAGTAGTTTGCTGAGTCCTCCAATTTTGGAAGATCCAGCAGAAACATTTACAGGGAGAAATGCAGGCAGATAGGATTCCAAAAGCTGAACAGCAGGGGGAGAAAATGGGGAGTGGGTAATTTATCTTTTTTCCCATAGGCACCTTTTAAAGGGCCAGAACATGGAGAACCTATTCTCATTGGGTAGTCCACATGGAGGAGAATCACACACTAAAGGTGTGCCAGGATATTGATGAGGGAGCTTTAGGGGGTGGAATTTCCAGTTTATTGAAGGTTTCTCCAGGTTATTTCATATGGAGAGGGGTTTAAAACCTGTGAAAGCTCCAGGGATGTAAGAAGGGAATAAAGGCTGTAAAAGCCAAACCTGAGCTGATAAAAGAACTTCTGAAAAAATTGTATATTGATTTTTAATGTGACTTTTAGGACTCTCACTTATTTAGCCATTTGCTGATAAAAGAAAATTCAGCTAAGAACAAACAGACGTATTTCACCTTTCGGGTCACATTTACCCCCACATTCTGTAGATGTCACCCATTTCAACTGGGACCAAAAATAGAATTTTACACAGAATTATAATAATATTTAGTGCTCAAAGTATGTTGCACTTTTCATTTTCAAAGTGCCACACAAACATTGGACCAGGTCACAGCTGGTGCAGGGAGGAAGGCAGCCAGCACACCCCCACCTAAACGCCTTTAGGGTTTCCACCAGGAGAGACAACTAGATGACCATGTCAAGGCCCCAGTGGAAATTGAAGTGAAGACATCACCCATCTGCCTTACCCATCCTCCTCTTCAGCCATCACTGACGTGTGGGCACCCTGGTAGAATTGAGGTTGTGGAGCCTATCCCCATGCTACTGTAACACTAGATTAATCAAGCCCATTCTCTAATGAACCCTTGCAATGCCTGTGATCAGGGGCGGCTCCAGGCACCAGCGCAGCAAGCGCGTGCCTGAGGTGGCAAGCCCCGGGGGGCGGCCTGCCGGTTGCCATGAGGGCGGCAGTCAGGCTGCCTTCGGCGACATGCCTGCGGGAGGTCCGCCGGTCCCGCGGTTTTGGCGGCAATTCAGCGGCGGGTACGCCGAAGGCGCGGGACCGGTGGACCTCCCGCAGGCATACTGCTGAAGGCTGCCTGACTGCCAGGCTTGGGGAGGCAAAATACATAGAGCCGTGCCTGCCTGTGATTTATGTAAATATTAGCAGCCTCGTTTTACCAATGGGTAAACAGGTATGGGTTTGAGCCTAAAAATTGCTGGGCAGCTTCAAGTAAAAGTAGAACAGCCTCAGCTCACATTGAAATCAAATGATTTGCCATATTCTGACTCAGATGCTCCTGGCTTCTACTTCCATTAATAGTCCACTAGATTTTTCTCCCCTTTTTGAGGTTTTAAAAAGAAAGTTGTGAAAAATAATTTTGTGTATCATCTTCTGGATTGGAAATGTAAATAACTAATGTGCTATAAAGGCGGCATTTTTTATATTTTCAATGGATCTAGCAATCCATCCAAAGGAAGTATGGGCGTTTGTTATCTGCAAGAATTCTAGATATGAAGATATTTGTATTCTATAAATGCAGGTATATTTTTCACTGCCTATGGATACAAGTGAGTGGAATGTATTTTGAATCCAGCACATCTCCAATTTTAGCTGCCTTTGGGTTCTCTTTTTCACAGCTCAACAGGCAATGGCAACACTAAGCATGCAGATTCTGTACCAGCCTTGGGATTCAAGCTAGTTCAGTAAAAGCCTTAAAAGGAATTTATTGTTATAATGTTCAGATAGAATCCATTGTTAAAATATCTATTGACTTCTTTGGTTCATGGTTGGGGTCGTCATAAACTATTAATTTAACTTGGTATCCAACAGATAGCAAGGCTAGCTGCAAAAATACAAAGCCACTCACACTCTGTAAGAAATGAATTAGAAAGCTCATGATAGCATGTTCCATTTCTATTTTAGGGATGTTACCTTTGAGGTTATTGGCTAATATTAGTTATGTAAACATTTACAGATGCCAAGCCTTCAGACATCAACACTGCTGTCAGAAGGGATCAGAACGGCATGCAGAGGCAAGGACATAATTAATAGATTCCAAGGCCAGAAGAGACCATTATGATTATATAGTCTGACCTTCTGTATAACACAGGCCAGAGAACTTTCTCACAATAATTCCTAGAGCAGAGATTTTAGAAAAACATCCAACGTTGATTTAAAAATAGGTCAGTGATGGAGAATCCACCATGACTAAGGCTATGATTTAGTCACGGGTATTTTTAGTAAAAGTCATGGACAGGTCACGGGCAATGGCCAAAAATTCATGGCTTGTGACCTGTCCATGATTTATATTATAAATACCCCTAAGTCTTGGGGGGGGCGCTGCTGGGGGGTGCTCTGGGGGCCACTGCTAAGGAGGAGCTGGAGGATCCGCTGCTGGGGAGGAGTCCCCGGGGGGCTGCTGATGGGAGGGGGAACGAGGCTAGCGGCAACAGCTGCTGGGAGCTGTCGAGGCTCTGGCCGCCCAGGGAACACTGCCAGGGGCCGCCAACAGCAACTGCTCCAGCCGCCCCAAGGACCGCTGCTCGGGCAGTCCCCAGGGCCAGCCACACCAGCCGCTGCTAGCCCCAGGGCTGCTCCAGCAGCGGCTAGTGTGGCTGTTGCCAGAGCCACCTGAGCAGCTGGTCCTGGAGCCAGCTGCTTGGGCGGCCCTGGGGTCAGCCGCACTGGCCGCTGCAGAAGTCATGGAGGTCGCGGAAAGTCATGGAATCCGAGACTTCCGCAACCCTCCATGACAAACACAGAGCCCTAACCATGACCCTGGCTAAATTGCTTCAATGATTAATTACCCTTACTCTTAAAAATGTATGCTTTATTTCCAGTCTGAATTTATCTAGCTTCAGCTTCCAGCCATTGGATTGTGTTATACATCCCAGGATCGCATCAGCTCTTTTGGCCACAGAGTCACACTGGGAACTCATGTTCAGCTGATTATCCACCATGACCCCCAAATCTTTTTCAGAGTCACTGTTTCCCAGGATAGAGCCCCCATTCTATAAGTATGGGCTACATGCTTTGTTTCTAGATGTATACATTTACATTTAGCCATATTAAAATGCAAGCACTCTGTATCAGTGACCTGTCATGTCCTCTTCATTATTTACCACTTCCTTTATTTTCGTGTCATCTGCAAACTTGATCAGTGATGATTTAATATTTTCTTCCGAGTCATTGATAAAAATGTTAAATAGCATAGGGCCAAGAACCTATCCCTGCAGGACTCCTTGGAGAAACCCCTGCTCGATGAAAATTCCCCATTTACAATTACATTTTGAGACCTATCACTTACCCAGTTTTTAACTCATTTAACATGTGTATGATGGGGTTTACAAACTCCACACTAAGGCAGAGACAGGGTAAGGGCTGGAGCAGTAGTGGGCCATGTAGTCCCCACCCTCAGGCACTGCCCAGCATGCTCCTGGGAGAAGACCAGGACCCCCAGGCAGGGGGTGAGAAGGGTGGGAAGAAAGAAGCCATTTCCTGGAGGAGCACCACTCTACAGTAACAGAAGAGGAAGCTTCTATTGAGGGGCCTGCTGACCACCCAAACGTCCCCGCTAAACACTGACAGAAGGACTGGAGTTAGAGGCCCAGACCAATAGGCCTGCTGACGAAACAAATCATCCCATAACAGTATGTCCTGTTAATTTTATACCATTCTTATTTTTTAAACAAAATGTCATGTAGTACCAGGTCAAATGTCTTAGTAAAGTCTAAGTATATTATGTCAACACTGTATCAATCAAACTTGTAATCTCATCAAAAAAAGATATCAAGTTAGTTTGACAGGATCTAGCCCATAAACCCAAGTTGATTTGTGTTAATTACATTACCCTCCTTTAATTCTTTCTTAATCAAGTCCCGTATTAGCTGCTCCTTTACCTTGCCAGGAATCAGTCAGGCTGACAGACCTATAATTACCCAAGTCATCCTGTTTACCCCTTACCCCTTAGCTGTCTTCCAGTTTTCCGGAACTTCCACAGTGCACCAAGACTTATTGAAAATCAGCATTAACAGTCCAGGGAGTTACTCAGCCAGCCCTTTTTAAACTCTATCTGGACCTGCTCATTTAATAATGCAGAATAGGCCAGGCACTAGAATGTCAACAATCAATGGAAATAATATTAGACCCAAGCCCAAGCATCGTGGAGGGTGTGGCAGGATGAAATCACCAGGCTAGACTAAAGATAGTAAGTACAGAACCTCCCCTTAAATAAGTCAATCATGCAAGGCCAGACATTCAGCAGCTATTCAAGAAGTGAAAATTGTTTAAGTGTACCCATTGGCAAATCAAAGAGAGAAATAACACATTTTAAAACATGTTTTGACTCTACATTAAAGTCCCATTAAAGTCAATGGCAATATTAAGACTGATTTCAATGAGAGCTTGATGAAATCCTAGAAGAAGAATATGCAAATCATTTGGGGGTAAATTTTCAAGAGGGAACTTTGTGTATATAAAATAAAATTGTATGTTAATTTACTCTTTTTGTAAAAGCTACTTAATTGATTATTTGAACTGAAAACACAGACATTTTGTGCAATTAACTAGACATAGTTGCACAATAGGCATTCTAAATCAGCTCCATTGCATGAACAAATTCATGTAAGATTTTGAAAAAAAAAAAGAGAAAAAGCTTTTGCACACTAATGGTCATCTCTTTGCTTGATAATGCACGTAGTCTGTACCAACATGTGTGCTCACTGCTCCTGTTAAACAGCCTAGGAACTGCTTTTCTAATGTAATATCCACTTTTCTCCTTCATTTAACAAAACAACAATCTCTGCAGAGAAAACCATTAGAGGCAAAAGCGTATTTTTACTCATGTTAAGTTAGAACATTACTTTGCATTGAAGTGAACATTTTTCCTTCAAATGTCTTCTGAATTTTTTTTCACAGTCATTGTGCATGCTGGTAATCTGGTAGATGTAAAATCTCTAAAATACTTATTTTTTGAAATGATGAGTTTAAAACATGGACTATTTTCCTGTATTCCTTATTGCCAAGATATAATCTGGACTTTGCTACAGGACTTTTTCAGTACATATAACAAACACATTTTCAAATAGATATCAGAACCAAATCTATCCCTCAGTAGTTTGCTTTGTAAGAGATAAAGGATAAAAGCAGTAGAGAGTGCTTTAAAATAAATCATATTTAATAGTTCTTGGTGGGACTCAAGTGGTATTCAGCCCCTGTGCTGGTCTGCTGCTCAGGGGTGAATTTTACCCTGTGTGCTTAGTTGTAAGTTTACCTGTGCACTTTCCCATAAATACCTTTTAAAATAAAAATAAACAGTTATAAAAATAAATTTGGACCCATAATTATATGACTGATTATGCTGCCTGAGGACTTCAGAATGGAGCCCTCAGTTAGGTGCACAACAGTTTCCTTGCTTTTAAGCACCACCAGTGACATTGAATGCACATGCTAGTTCTACTGCCCACGCAGCTCCATGGTTAAATGCTAGAATGTTCCATATATGCTATGTATCTCTTCTGAAATTTTACCTATCTATTTTAGGCACTTATATAGCCCCCATTACTGTAGTATCTGAGCGCCTCACAACAGCTCTGTGAGGTAGAGAAGTGCTATTATCCCCATGTTACTGATGGGGACCTGAAGAACGAAGGGCCAGATTTTTAAAGATACTTAGGTTACTAAAAACAGAGATAGGTACCTAATAGGATTTTCAAAGGCAAGTAGGTGCCACTAGATGCCTGTCTGAATCTTTAGGTACTTAAATACCTGGCCCTAACCAACTTGCTCAAAGTCACATAGGAAGTCTGTGGCAAAGTAGGAACTGACCCAGGGTCTCTAGACTAATGTTCTAGCTACTGGACCATCTTTCTGCTTCTTATCTCTGAATGATGTATATCTGAATGTTGTAGAGTTTGTCTTGTGTATGAGACTAAAATATTTTTAAAATTCCGAGCAAAGAAGTTGTTCTTCATGGTTATAAAAATGAGGTTTGACAAATAATCCTTAAAATATAATTTCTTCAATGAACTTTGCTTCTTTTTCTCTTCATGAACTGTCCAGTAATACATGGCAATTTTCTCAAAATGTATTAATTATTCAAAGTTCTTTGCCAAATATCTTTGTGAATTATTCTCGTTCTATCTAGGGATTGCTCATTTATTGTGAATATTCAATATCAAAATGCAAGCTCAGTAGGTTTGATTAGGCACTTATGGACCAGATACTCATATAGGTAAGTAAATCTGTGTAGTTTTATTGACTTCAATAGAGATATGCAGATTTACACCAACTGAGAGTCTAGCCCCCAGGTAACACAGTGTATTCCATGCGTGGATGAGCATAACTCTTTGATTCAGGTTTTTAGTGTATAATTTTCACATTCGCAAATTTAAAGTTCTCTTTATGCAAATGAATGTACATTCACACATTTTTCTTTCAGTATTCACTCAGCCCTAGATAGCATGGATTTAATGGTCAGTTCTAATGAATTATTCAACTCATTTGTTGAATAATGTGATATTAATCTCTCCTAATCCAATGGTACACAGTTTGAAGGGGAATTCCATAATTATGCAAGGGCAGTTAAATGGATTTAAGAGTGTCAATAACGACACATAACTGCTGCTTGATAGATGTGTTTTGTAATTAATAAAGGGCCAAATATTTTAGGAAGTATTATCAAAGTGATAATATTTGATATATATATATATATATATATATATATAAAAAACTGAACTACACTACTGTCTTTTATCATATATGACAAACTTTATAATGTGAGTATATTTTTCTTTTGCAGAAAATTTACAGAACAGCTAGTTATCGTTAGAGACTGCAGTAATGAATATTTTTCTCAGAGTACATTACCTGTCCCTGCTCAGCAAGTGCCTTTTCTAGGTCCTCTATTTGAGCTTGTGATCTGTGTATTTCTGCTTGGAGCTGCTCACGCGTCTGTAGGATGTGAGAAAAGATACATCAAACTTTCTCTAAAAGCCAAAATGCTAATGTAGATACATCAAACACTTAAAATATATCAAATACTTATTAAAGACATTTGGGGGAATTAATTTGCAGTGAAGTACTTATGACAGGGCCAATCATTAAAAATTTTAAAAGGAAAACTTATATGATGGGATAGCAATTTTAAGATACAATTTAAGATTAAAATGAACATCATCCAGTTAACTAGCCACTTAAACAGCAAAAGATTAATTGCTTCTTACATTAGAATATTTGTTACACTCTTTGTTCATAGATCAGAAGAGTTTTGCCCGTATCCAGTTCTATCAAAACAGGATGTTTAAAAAAGCAAATGGAGTAACAGAGATTTGTCTTCCCATAAGAATGGGAGGAAAGATACATTAATAGGCTGAGGGGCATGCTTGATTTCTACCTGTATTTTTGTAGTTTTAAACTGATTTAAAAGAGACCAACAAATATGATGGCACAAATTGTCAAAAGCAGCCTCTACCTTTATGACCATAATTTTGAGTACACAAATGTTTAACTGTACTATACGTAGATTTCAATCACAAAGGCTAATGGAAAGCTAGTTCACAGTCCAACACCTTTCTGTAAATGTGATGTATATATTTTATGGAGAATAAAGCTAATTCTAATTCTTAACTATCTTTATACATAAAATATGGATGTATGGGTGTGACATACCAGGGTACAATCCAGGCTAATGAGTAGCTGCGTGATCCCTTTCAAAACGTAAATCACGCCCTGCTATGTCTCTGTGTGTGTGTGTTGCAACCAGCCAGCCACACCTTGGCTCTTACCTGCCTTGGTTATGCTACAGAGTGACCCCAACACACACCTCAGTCCTGGATTTTGCCCCAGAAACATATTTCCTGTACCACCCAGCCCTCTCCTGGACAGTAATAATATATTTAGTCCATTATTCCTTTAAGGGAAAAATACACACACAATTTGTTACCACAACTGGAGTTACACAGATACCAACTTGAACATACTGGATTAGATAAAACAAGTTTATTAACTACAAAGAGATAGATTTTAAATAAGAAATGAGGCATCAAAGTCAGAAATGATTACAAGAAAAATAAAGATAAAACACTTACTGAAGCCTAACTTAACAAACTACATTAGATTCAAAGCAAAAGTTCTCTCGCCACACACTGTCAGCAGTCTTACTGACCAAACTCTTTAGGTCAGATCCCCTCCCCCAAAATCCAACAGCTGCTTCCTTTGTCTCTTCAAGCGCAGTGAATGTGATGGGCAGGGAGAGAGAGAGGGATATCTTGTGTGATTGTCCCTTCTTTTTTATAGTTTCAGTCCCCCTCTTGAAAAACATTTCCAACTGAGACCCAGGAGACAAAGAGTCTACGTGGAAGAATATTCCCGGATGGCTTTTTTCACCTCTTAGAACTTCCTTTGATTTCCCTTCCTGCTTGATGACTCTGTTTACTGCTGAAATGCAAATTAAGGCAAGCACACATTCCTTCCTTTGTTTAGGACAGACCTGACTTCTGCCTGGCCAGGGCTATGGCATTTGGAACATGTATTAATTAATAACATCATACCGGGGAATCTTATAACTTCACATACAATGTTGCCACACATATTTTACCAGAACAATCTTGACCAGCAAATTATAAGTTTTCAAATGATACCTTACAAGCCATATTTTGTACAATTACAATAGTGTATATGGTATGAATACAGGGGTGTATTCTACCACAATGGCATTCTATTCTATTCTATATAGATTTTTATACTGTGCTCATCACCATAGTATCTGAGCGCTTGCAGTAGTGCCTTAAGCAACATGACTACACATCTGTCACATTATTTGTTCTCTCATCCTCTTTCCAGGGGAAAAAGCATACGTAGTTGAGTGTCTTCTTTTGGTAGGTGTGTCTTTTTTAATAGATCCATTGCTGTGTTTATATTAGAGAAGGCAAGACCAAAGAAATGCTTTTTGTACTTGAAATGGAAAGAGGCGAGGATTGTGACAGTCCTTAGTTTTGAGGGGAGTTCATTACACAATCTTGGACTGCCCCCAGAAAAAGTTCAGTCTCCTGCAGAGGTGAGAGTGAGCTTTACTCTTATTGTTGAGAATTCCATTGTGTCTGAGGAGTGAAGCTGTTGACCACATTCTTTGTCTTGGAGCTTTAGATGATCTTTTAGATACTCTGGGTCCATACCAGTGAGTGCTTTGAAGATAAGGACTGAAACCCTAGTCTATGGGAAGCCAAGGTAGGGAGCAGAACACAGATTTGATATGTTCTTGGTAGCCTGTATTGCTCAAAAGATGCACTACAACATTCTGAACTATTTGGAGTTTCCTAAATACTGAAGGCTTCATGCGCAGTTTATATTGTATTGCTGAAATCCATCTGAGAGGTGACAAATTCATGTATAACTGAGACCAGGTCTTCGTCCACCAGGAGGGGACAGAGTTTCCTAGTCAAGCAGAGATGGTAGAAAGCATTACTTGCAAATGCTGATATGTGAGAGCTCGGTGTCAGTGAGGAATCCAAGAATATTCCTAGACTATGGACTGAATTGACCAATTGTGGGTGTGTATCTTCAACCAAAGGAGACTGCTTTGTGGTTGCAAGCTCTTCAAAATACTTCACTTTGCCTATCAGCATCTCCTCTCTCTTGCTTGGGTTCAGCTTCAAGCAGCTGTACTTTATCCAAGTGCTGATCTCATCCAAGCACTGGGCCATCTTGGTGGTAGTGGTCATATGTGGTGAAGGATAGACAGAATTGTGTATCCTCTGCATATTGCCGACACTTGAGTCTTTGTGCCATCTGACCAGTTCACCTAATGGTTGCATGCAGATGTTGAGAAAGACTGGAGAGAGAATTGATCATTGTGGAACTCCACAAGTGCGGGATTTAGCAGTGGAGCTGCAGTTTCCCATCACTATTTGTTAGCACCATCCTTCCAGGAAGGACACAACCCATTTTAGTACATTACCTTGGATCCCTATCACCTCTCTTAGGTGAGACAACGGACTCTCATGGTCAACAGTGTAGAATGCTGCAGAGAGGTCCAGCAGGATGACAATGCATATCTGTCCTCTAACCATTGACAAGAGGAAATCATCCATCAGTGCCACTAAAATGGTTTCAGTTCTGTGTCCTGGCCTGAATCCAGATTGTGCCAAGTCTAGAACATTAGTTTTAATTAGATGAGCTTGTAGTTGGCTTTTTGCTAGCTTCTCAACATACATGAAGGCAACTCTTTTGTTTATTCCTGCACTCAGTTTGGTTGAGAATATATATTTTCAGAGTAAGTGAATTTTAGAGCATATGTAGATTTAAAAACTATAAACAAACACATCTGAAAACAAAATGATCCAAATTCAACTCCTCCTCTGCTTTCATGCCAAGACCTGAGTTCAGGGTTCACTTCTTCCTACTCAGCTGATGTCTCCACTAACAGTTAAAAAATAAAGCAAGGACTATTGCTGCTTACACTAAATACTAGCATTGCCATCAGGTCTTGCAGGCACAACAGAGAACCCAGAACTGAAATACTGGTTGGCAAAAAGTTTTTCAGTTTATGTTTTAAAGAAAAGTTGCCCATTTTACTTGGAACAGAATTCTGGAAAGCACTTATCTCCATGGATATTGTACTGCTTCTTCCCAAGGCAATAGCAAAATTACCCAAGTATAAACTGAGAATATATTGTTTAACTGGAACAGAATCTGTGTTAAAAAAAGTTTACCATTAAGAGGAACTCAATTGTAAAGCCATTGAGGGTTGTCATTGTACCCTCAACCTCTACTTCAGACAAGGTACCTTTTGGATCAGGTGATTGCTCTGATGAGAACAAGGGTAGATTGGTGGCCTATAAATGTGTTTGGGCAGGTTGCAGACAGCAGTAGCAGCATGAGGAAAAGACCAGTTCTGCTCCTTTTGCACCTGACACCCCAGGAAGCTTTTCCCACCTATAAATCCACCTGGGCAGGTAGTTAGCCAGTTAACATCGAAATCTTATAATTATATTTTGTTGTCAGTATAAATTGCCTTATTTAATTGTTTGCATTATCTGGGTGAACTTTCCTTCTTGTTTGTTTTGAACTGGGAAACATTGAATTATTTCATGTTTGTAATTGCTTCTTGTTTCACCATCACTTTCTTAATGTTTGCAACTTCTACCATGTCAGAGCAGATAGCAGGCAAGCCTTAAAGAAGAGTAATTTCTAAAACTGTTTCACAGATCAAATAGAGTGAGACAATACCTATCTCTCAATCTGGCTATCTGAGAGACAAGGGATTAGTCTACTTGCAAGAACATTAGAGAAACCCAGCAGTGTAGGCTGCTGTGGAGTTACCTACACATTACTTTAAGTTATTCAGTGGAAATGAAACATTAGCTAGATGACCAGGTCTGGAAAGCCAAAATATTGATTCAATCTTAGAACTCAAGCAGGGGAACGTGTTTCATGTTTAATTTGTCTCAAGGGATTGCCTATGGGTTGGGAATGCAATCAGACTACCACACTGCTGTAGGAAATATTCATGGTTGTACTAATATTTGAAACTTTTTATAATTTTAATAAAGTTGTTGCTAATGTGGCCATTTTACCCTAAGACTGTGTTGGATTCTCCTGGAACAATGTGCTTATGAAAAGTGAAAGTGACTGATCCATCACTTACATAATAGATTTAGGGCCAAATTGAGAGCTTGTAGGCACACCTCCATCAATGAGATTGCATAGAGTGGAGGTCAGGACAGAATTAATATGTACATATTTTGTTCTTTGTCCAAACCGGATATATTCTAATCCTTTCCATCAATTTTCAAATAGTAAAATTAAATGTGACTGTATTATTTAATTGTCCTTCCAGCACTTTATAATGTATAATTTATTCATATTACAGAACATATATGTATTTATAATGTAAATTAAAGCAAGATAATTAGATAGCTGCAACTGCCTTTCTAAGGGGACATTGGAGGAAGATAGGAAGGCACAATGGAATAGTGCAATTCAATTAAGAAAATGAATCTCGTTTTGAACTATAAGCCTTTTAAAAACGTTATTCAGAATCAAGTAATCTCAGTAAATCCAGGTTTGAATTTTGGGCATTAACTATTTACGAATATTGGTAATAGATTTTTACTGACGGGGAGCTTAATTTTCCATAAAATATTCTGCTTGACACTCTTGTAAGCTGATCAGTGGTATAAAAATATAAATGCATTAGCCATGGTTTCTTCAGCAATCAGCACTTCAGTGTAAGAGAATGGAAATCTGACTGCTTTTAGAGACCATAAATTACAACACTGCATTTGAGATAGCAGTGTAGACGCATTAGTTATTCACAGCAGACAATATTATGGACAGACCCTACCATGAGGAATATCAAACAGGTATTAAAGGAGGATTAAAGGAAAATAAAGGGGGGCGGGGGGGAGAGAAGCCTCCTGAAAAATGTTGAAACCCAGTTTAACTCTTTTTCAACTACTGCTAACATACAATTGTCTGTGCAGTACACCCTGACATCCTGGTCAAATTCCAATCTGAGTAATTACTTTCATTCAATCTACAGTATATCTGCAATTTTATTTGGAAGGTCATTTTCACTTCCTCTCCTAAACTTCTGTATACTGTTGCTGTGTTTTGGCCCAGAAATGGTTGGTGGCAAAATCTCTAAGTTTAGCCTGTGTATTACTTTATCCAAAAGCACTTTGGAACCTATCATCATGAAAGGTGCTTTATAAACCTATGATTATATCATATATACATGCATATTAAACTACTACAGACCAGATCCTCAGCTGGTGTAAATTGACATAGCTTCTTGACCTTCAATGGCACTACCCCGATTTACACCAGCCAAAGATCTGGCCTATTAGTTATCACAACAACCTGAGCAAGTAAAATTAGAAAAATGTACATCATTGCAATCCTTTATTTTCATGTAATATAAGCCATTTAGACCTTAACTTCTCGTTCTGCATCCAATGTTCCTCCGACCTGTTCTTGCAACAAAGCGTATGCTCGTTGCAAAGCCTGATATTCCATTGTCAACTGCCGAAATCTCAGTTCTGTTTCTTCTTTGGCCATGCCCTGAAATGGAAAAAAAAAAAAGGATTCTTCCAAAACTGAAAGTAAAGAAAGCCTCACAGAAACCTATATTATTTTCTCTGAAGAAGGAAGTTGGTGGCATTAGAGCCAATAATTTATAGTACTTTTAAAATACAAGTTAGCAAGTGCTGTTCATAAGGTCTTGTTTAAGTGCTCTCTAGTTATTTCAGTCTTTCCAGGAAAATATCACATAGACACACTTCACTGAAATGAAAGATGTGTCTTTCTTTCAGAGTTGGCACTACTTGCCAGCACTGCTGATCACAGCCATTATGAAGAAAAGTTCCTCCTTTTTGCAGAAAGATGCAGAGTATATCATCCATGAAGCACTATGACGGTTGAACTGACCCTCAATCATTGCACCACATACAGTCACCACTGGTGATGTGCCAATGGCATTTCTGAATTAATATATGACATTTGCATTGGTACTATGTTCTTCAAATGAGACAAAGACCAAGGAGTGAATAGTGAATGGATGACCTGATTTTCAGAGACACTGAGCATCCACAACTACCACAGAAGTCAATGGCTACGACTACATTGCAATAAAAAAAAGCCCATGGCACTGAGTCTCAGAGCCGGAGTCAACTGACTTATGCCCACGGGGCTTGGGCTGTGAGGTTAAAAAATACGGTGCAGATGTTTGGAGTTGGGCTGGAGCCCGGGCTCTGAGACCCACCCCCATCATGGAGTTACAGAGCCCAAGCTCCAGCACGAGTCGAACACCTACACTGCAATTTTTAGCCCCACAGTCTGAACCCTGCAAGACTAAGTCAGCTGATCCGGGGCAACCTTGGCTATGCTGCTGGTCTTTTATTTCAGTGTAGATGTACCAAATGAGAGATGTGGATCTTCAGCGCCTCTCGTTGATCTTCTTTACCTATCCTGCTTTAATGCTGTAATACATTAGTATGGTTCATTAATATAATGAATTCGATATGAATGAAATTCACTCTATGCAACAGCCACGGCTATTTTGAAGGCTTATATCCAACTTCAATGGTGCACAGAACTTGAGCCAACTGTCTGCACATGAGTGAATTTCATGCTATAGGAACAGGGAGAAGTATTTGCTCAATGTGTGTATTAAAAATGAATCAACAGATTCATGTTTCTCTCTCTCTCTCTCTCTCTCTCTCTCTCACACACACACACACACACACTCTTAAATTATGTAGCCAGCTATGACACAGATATGAATTATTACACTCCCTTCTTTAGAAATCTGCAATTAAACTGTGAAACATATGGTGAAGGGCTGACTGAAATGATGCAGCTATTAAAGAATCGGATGCTGTAAAAACATAGTTCACTATCATGGGGCTTATTTTTTTCTATAGCAAGTTTCTTGCTGGAGCCTAGAGACAGGTAATGGTACATAGATCTGACATGAGATTCTGAAAACACTCACTGACTTTATCTGAATGTACTTTTGGGAATAGTCTTCAAAATACAGGTGGTATTTGGCCACCGGTGCCTTCCTGCAGTATTTCTTAACAGCTGCCTCTTCTTATTCTGACATCAGAAGCTGCAGAATGGCGAACTCTGTTGAGGGGCTGGTGAAAAGATAGAAGTACTTACAGAGTCTTTCTTCGGCCTTGGCTCACACCATGGATTTGGACAATTCAATTCAATATGGATTCGGGCTGTGCTCTGTACTTAGGCCTGGAATACACCTAAAACTTAGGTTGGCCTAGTTATATTGCTCAAGGCAGTGAAAAATTTCACACCCTATGCAACACAATTAGGTTGACCTAACCTGCACTATAGTCGCAGCTGAGTGGATAGAAAAATTATTTAATCAACTTAGCTACTTCCTCTCGAGAGCGTGAATTTACTACAATTACAAAAAAACTCACCTTCTGTCACGATCATGAGAATGTTACAGTGTTACAGCGGTGTAGCAGCAAAGCTGCAGCTGTGGCACTGTTTTGCTTGTCATGTAGACAAACACTTAGGTCAAAATGTGAAGTCATTGGATAAGATGAATGTTGAGCTCAGTTTATATGTGAAGCTAAATATGCATTCAATCCCAATATGAATCTTCCCAGCCATAAGGTCCGCACAGCCTTTTCAGTATTCCCACCCCTAAAAATCTGCTAACTCCCACACTTTTAGGGATAGGAATTACATAAAGTTTCAGGTTTTTGCCAACAATAGTGGGGTGACTTGCCCCAAAATGATCAGCCTCCATGCATAGGATTAAGCTCATGATCATTTGACTACACCAGATTTTAGTTTTCCAGTCAAAGGGTATATCAATGTGGAGTTCTCCAAAAACAAGGGCAGGATAATTGTCTTAATAATATGATCAACAATTCTGAGTTAGATATAAGAATACACAGGATAAATTTAAGTGTCATTACATATTCTAGATTAATGGAAAATACCTCTTCCAAGTCATCATCAGGAGTGCAAGGAGTTTGATCTGTTCTGTCAGTTTGATACGAGATAGAAGAACCATCAGACTCCAGAGAAGCTTCTTCATCATAGCCAAAAAATGTCTCCACAACCGGCTTCTGACCAAATGACAATGTGTAAGTGCAGATGAACAATGCAAATAAACCTTACAATATGGCATAGCCAGCTGAGCCCCTTGAAATGTCTGAAAAACCCTCTGATTGGTATCTCCAGTAATTCTGAAGCAGAGTTTGTCTTAAACAGAAAATTTGTATTCTAAACTTTGTACTCTGTTTCAGCATACAGTGATATGCTTTTCAAAGTGTGGTTTCCCTCTATTTGTTTTAATGAACTCTCTCAGGGGAAAATGAATTGTTCTCATACAAAATATCAGGAGAGTTTCCAATGTGTTACTTATTTCTAAATACAGAAGTTGCTTCTTTATAAATTTATGTTAAACTTTTTTCAGACCATCCATAATGTTCTAGTAAAACTGTATGTTGCTTTAATTTGCTGAGTGGATTATTTTATTTGTTATTTGGAAGCATGGAGTTCTCTCTTACAAGTATTTTGTCATATTTATTTTATTTAGTTTGCTTCAAATTTTAGGCAGGAGGCAGTTCTTTAGCCACATCATCCATTCCCTGATCCATCTGTATGGATACACACCAGCACATACGTAGCCTCATACAATTAGTCTGGGATTTGTTTGGCCCACAGTAGTTAGGGATAAAACACAAGGGCCACTGCTCTGACTTACACCTTCTGTAACCCCACTGAAGCTTTGATCCTTCACGTAGAGTATAGTTTACTACTAATTCAGCTCCTTGACATTTCACCCTCTCCAACCACTGCACAAGTACATTAATTATCCCTCAGACAGACTCTGTAATTAACATTTCCTTCTTCCAGCTCACTGAGCACTAATTGTAATGCTGCTACTGCTTCTGACCAATAATTTTTGCCCATTTTGCTAAATTTTATAATGAATTAGTTACATCTTACATACATTTTTAGGCACTGTTGTAAAAAAATGAGTTAACTTCAGGATTTTCTAATTCACAGGAGCTGTCTACTCTTTACACAAATTGTCACTTGTTATTGAGTTCCTGAGGGATGCTCACACGATACACAGTACAGTTTACATATTAAAGCACACATATTGAAAAGCAAACAATGTGTAGTTTAAACAGTTCACTTCCTATAGCACATGCATTATATATCACTAATGAATATTACCGACATCAAGGGTGAAATTGGGGGTGAGAAAGGTGATGTTGTTCTTCCATGCTCCACCCACAAAATCAATCCACACATTCTTGTTTTAGATCAGGGCCGCCCAGAGGATTCCGGGGGCCTGGGGTCTTCGACGGCAGGGGGCCCCCGCCGCCGAAGACCTGGCACTTCGGTGGTGGGTCCCAGGGCGGAAGGACCCCCCGCCGCGGGTCTTCGGGGCACCTCGGCGGCAGGTCCCGGAGCGGAGGGACCCCCCGCCACCGAATTGCCGCTGAAGACCCGGAGAGGAAGAAGCTCCGGGGGCCTGGGCCCCGCGAGAGTTTTCCGGGGCCCCCGGAGCAAGTGAAGGACCCTGCTCCAGGGGCCCCGAAAAACTCTCGTGGGGGCCCTTGCGGGGCCTGGGGCAAATTGCCCCACTTGCCCCCCCCCCCCGGGCAGCCCTGTTTTAGATGACCACAAAAATCTATTTAGGATTGCTCTTAAACTGCTTGATCTAAACCTAAGACTCAAAAGTCACTTCTAATTTGGAGAGTCAATGTTTGCTTGCTGAACCCTAGATCCTTAAGGTGAAATCCTGTCTCCATTGAAGTCAATGGGAGTTTTCCCATTGCCCTCAGTAGAGCCAGCATGTACCCTTGCTGCCAGACTTTGAGAGTTGATGACCATTTGTATGGACCATTGATGTCACTAAGCAAGACGTTGTGCTCATCAGCTCTATACAAATAAATATAGATTTAAACTTTTTTTTTTACCTTAGGGAGTTTTGTCATTTTCTTCCTTTGTTTCCTATACCTTAAAAGCTTATCCCGTTCCTGGAAAAATGAATTAGATACATTTGTTAGCTAATGTCAGTGTTTTATCTTTTAATTGCTCTGTGTAAATGTTTGCATTATCCTTCAAATTGAGAAAAATTTGAAAAAGTAGTTTCAGTATCAGCCATTGCACAGTAATGCAATGAGGAATAGGCAATTTTTCATCAATCAAGTGCTAACTGCTCTCCAAAATGTTGCAAGTTTGCAGTAAGAACATATCAGTTGCTTGAGTATATAGATGAAAATCCTGACAACTAAGGAGAACTGATTGCTCCATCCTACACACTGTAGTAGGGGGCTCCATGGGCAGAACACTCATTGAATTCTGTGTTATAGTGCTCTTCTAATAGATGGAATATCCTGGCAGTATTGAGATGCAGGGGTAAATACTGTTCGTGGATGTGCGCATGGCTTCTATTATTTCCAAAAGAAACCGTGGGCACTTGTCATCTGCCCCAACTGTAGAAAATTCAGGCCTGATTTTCAAAAGTGCTGAGCTTACGTAACTTCAGTTGACCTTAACAGGAACTATGGGTGCTCAGCACCTCTGAAGATCAGGGTTCAGCTTTTTCTGTTATCAGGAAGTATTTTTAATCAGTGGCTATTATCAAAGATCTAATACTAGTGGTACTGAATTTTAACACAATATGAAAAACGTTTTGTTCTGGGTGGTTAACAAAGAAAAGCCCCAATATTGATAAAACATTATCCTCCAGCTCATTCATTTCCTAACAGGATTCAAAACATATTATGGGATAGATTGATCACATATTCTTATTGCTGCTGACATCATCACCACTAATGGAGATTGTCCAATCAGAAAACTAGTGCTAATAGTTTTGTGAATGGCAGAATAGAATATAAATCACCTTTCCTTAGCTTCATTGGCTTTGTTGTGCTGACAGCAGTGAAAACAGACTTTCGTCAATAAAAGTTAGCAGATGTGACTTGCACGCAATAAATGCTCATCTACAACAGCAAAAGGGATCCTTATCTGATAGCAATGGGTCCCACTGCACAGGTTCTCAATACACCAGTATGGATAGGACAAAACGATTTTCAGGCCCATTGTAGAAAGCATGACTGCAGCTTAGTGGAAACTGTCCCTCTGGGTTTTCAGCTCAGGAAGCAGCTCTGTATTTTAGGGGGCGACAGGACCCCAGTGTTGAGGCTGCCAAGTGGATGCACTAATTGGTGCATTGTCTGGGCAACTGCCCATGCTGACTTTTTAGGCTGTGCTGTCTTTCCATATATCCCACTGGTGAAAGGGAAGTTGAAACTGTTTTCCAGTATCACAATCCTGCTCCCACCCAAAGGAATTTCTGCTGCTAGGGTCCTCATTGATAGAGTCCCTGGGTTAAATCTAGCCTCTGAATATAAAGTAAATTCATAACAAATATTACTTTGAAACACTTCATTAGTACAAGAAAATATGAGATGTTGCAGCTGGCCTGCATGATCTCAAAGAACCACTGCCTAAAATACACAGAAAGGAACATAGTGAAATTAAATATATGCCTTACTTACTATTACGCTCTTCACATAGCCAGCAGTTTCAAGAGTCTAATCAAAATAATTAGAGAATGTCATTAAGTGCAAGGGTATATACATTTTGTTTGCTTTCTACTTAATTGCACAGCCTGTTTCCACCCTTTTTAAAAAAAAAAGTCTGAATTATTTTAGTTGTAATACAAGACACAAGAAATCTTTCATTTATTCAGGAAACCCCCCCACAGTGGATGTGACAATGCTGGCAAGTTAGAACATTCCATTCTGTGTGGCTAACATACTGTGGTGGTGCCACTTTAAAGCTGTAATCAGTATTGCAATAGAATGTTATTTAACTGGATTCTGCAGTCCATACCTAGATTTAACGCTCATTCGCTGTAACTGGAATTTTACCATAGTAAGGACTAAGGACTGGGATCTTTTAAAGCCAAATCATCCCCTTCAATACTGCCTGTAGAGGGGATAAAACCTGGTGGATCCAGGAGGAGGGATGTGGAAGTGTGGAGGAGTGCTGCCTTTACAACATCATACTGCTTTTTCCCTGAGGAGGAGGGGCTGAGCCAGGAAAACACTCGTTGTCTATGGAATAAACACTCCTCAACCCAGCGGGATTCCTCATGTGAAATTTATATTGACTTGAAATTCCCTAATGTCCCTGCCCAAAGTGAAAAACTGAGTAAAAACTCACTGAATTTACAATCCCCAAAGCAGCATTAGCTCATGTAGATGACCTATGGTCCACAGTTGTTATAGAACTGGCTTTGGGATGCTTAAGAAAAATCTGCATAGTATTTTTTTTTTAAATTACTATGAAGCTTGCTTAAGGATCCATTCATGATTTCATTTTCTACACCAAACACCTGTGGTCTGCAGCCTCAACTTAACTGATCACAAGAAGCATTATTAAAAGGAAAACAAAATTTAAAAGATTTAAGCATCTTAAAATAAGCCCGAAACATTGGAAAATATTCCCTTTCATAAGCTTCCTGTTTTTAGGCCTGATCTTGTTCCCATTGAAATCAGAGAGAGTTTTCCCATTGACTTTAATGGGAATAGGATCTGGCCATTAGTGTGTTTCCAAGAAAGCTCAGAAAATCTGAAAGAAGCTCCTTCATACAAATGCTGAGCTGAGTGAAGGGGATCTTTCAAAAAATGTTCCACATTTTACTTTAAGTTCAGTTTCGTTATAAAGGGAAGCCCACGGAAATCATCACCGTATGTTTGTTGACAACACAAGCTTTTCCTGTTTGCTTGGTGTTTTCTTTTCTTTTGCTATGACCAAGAGCACTAGGAAGGCTGTGCTATTTGATTACCTTAGAGAGTTCATCTATGATATTTTGCTGTTCAATAATTTGTAGCCTCAGAAATTCAACTTCTCTTTCTTCTTGACTCTGGTCAAGGTCATTTAAAGAGCTTGGTCTCCTTATTATCCCAGCCCTTTGTCTCTGAAAAAAAAACCCCACAGAACAAAATTGCAAATGATTAAAAGTCTTTGACAAAGCACAGCATATAATCCTTCCCTTTTACAACCAGTAATTCATCTAGGCTATTTGCTAAACTGATGGTGATTCTCTCTCTATATCTCCCGCTCTGCCTGCCCCCCATCAAACAATAAATCTAGGTTGGGATTTTAGCTCCTCAGGCTAGAAAAAGCTAGAAGCTAGGACATCAGGAAGGCATCATGCTCATAGTCACCAGAGAGGAAAGTCAATCTCGTGCACCATCTGGTAGCCCACTGAGGACTTTGATTAACATCAGTCTTGGAAAAGACAGTCTGTTCAGCTTTATATTGCTGAAGGAGGAATGTAAAGATGTGGCAAAAGGAATCCTAAATGGAGGTTAATTCTTTCTGGATTGTTCCCATTATCTTCAGCAAGACTGGATCTAGAGAGTGTGAGAGCAACTGAACTTTTTTATTAAAGTGTTTTTGGTCCTGCTGAATGCATGTCATCTCTCACTTACTCAATTTCCATTAATGTTCAACTTTAAACATAAACAAATAAAAATATTGAGTCACCGGTGCAAATTTCCAAATCACCGCAAGGCAATTGTGATACGAAAATCACAATTTAAGCAAGATAATTTGCATCCATATTCTCCTGAGCACTACTGAGCATTCAGCTGGATCAAAATATAGGCATTTTACTATAGCTCAGAATTTGGAAAATAAATAAATAAATAAAAAGCAAAAGTAAAACATTTGCTGAACTAGGATATCAATGCCTCAAAAACAAACTCTTTCTTGATCACTTTCTCACTGTATAACTGGAACGTCATCTGTTAATAAGCAAAAGCCATAAGTCACTTATTATATATAACATAATACCAGAAAAAACACTTAGAAAAATGAAAACACTTGTTTAATATCCTGCAAGCTTGTGATGATATTTTTGTTAAATATCTGATTTCCTCAAACCTGTATATATTAAGTTATTTGCTCTTCTTATAGATGACAATGGCAAGGGGGAAACCTACCATTTCTATGTTCTCTTGAGTTACAAATTTTAATTTATTTTCCATTCGACGTAAGGCATGGGATAAATCTTCATTCTTCCTACTGAGACGCTTATTTTTGTCCAGGAGAGGTTTATATTGACTTTCTGCTTCTCTTAGACGTTTTAACTAAAATATTAAAAAAATGCATTACACAGTATAACTATTTCCATTTATCACTTTAAGACATATTGATAGAATTTATTACAACTAAAGTAATTTTACTACCAGAGTAATATAATTCACTTCCAATTTTGAAAAATGCAAAGCAGTGTCATCTTGGATTCCTAGGTTATGTTCCTGTCTCTGCCATTGACTCACTGTGTGACCTTGGGCAAGACGCTTGACCTCTTTGACCCTTCACCCATATACCCAACCCTCTCCCTTGCCTACACACACAAACCCTTCATTCACATATCCAATCAAGTACTGGGGGTACAGGAAAAAAACATGCAACAGGGCCAGGGGCGATATAACAGCAGCAGTTTTTAAAATCAGATCCCCTCCAATTTCTGCTAACTTGGGGTCTGATCCAAAGCCTACTGAAATCAATGGAAAAACTACCATTGATATCAGTGAACTTTAGATCATGTCCTCAAGGCACTCCATCAAACTGTCTTCTGCTGATCACATGAAGGTGCAGGGATTCAACTGTATCTGTCAATTCGATTTACCTGTCTAGGTTCTTACATGGCACCTGTCACTCAACATTATGAATACAGGCATAAATCATTTTCATTTCCCTCTCCTTCTGGACTTTAGGTATATTTTGTTTGTTCCTTTGTGTTGTTATTGTGGGACAGTTCTTCTCTCTGTCCCCCAACAGGCCAGAGGAGAGAAACCTGGGTTAGAGATGTCAACTTTCGCCCACCGGGGTGGAGTGGGGAGGGCAGGGGCAGGAAGGGTTCAGAAATTCTTCTTTCCCCTCCTCATATCAGAGGTCATTGGAGAGGATGTCATCATAGGATTGCACTCCCTCCCCTCAGCGGGCAGGGAGTGGCTCAGCCTGGCAACTCTGGGCATTGGATGCTTGGGAGAGTGAACAGGAGGCAGGATCTGCACTCTGCTTGATGTGCCACTTCTAGTACTGGAGCATACAGAACAAGCTGAGCCCATATCAGTTCAGGCTCAGCCCAGAAGCCCATGTTGGGCACTAAGTTATAACTAAATTATAACAAGGTGACTCTTTGACAATGCCTCTTCCAAGAGTTTTAATAAGTTCATTAGAAGTTAAAAAAACAACAACAAAACCTGTAGCAACCTGAGACTTTTTCTAACTCTAAAACTGTCAATCCTTCATGAGTAAAAGCCCAATGGAAGGCTGAGTCTCTTTAAAGGGCATAGTGTGAGCACACTGCAGAAAAAAATATACCCCTACCTAATTAAAGGTTCCACTGAAAAAAAATGCCAACCAATATTTACTTAAAAATAAAATTGTTTTATGAACTAATCATATTGTGGACAATGTTATGTTATTGTATGGAATACTACCAGGCATAAAGGAAAGAGAGAAGCAGGGTTAGCAATTTTCTAATCTAATATGGACGCTATATGTAACCCCAGATTACACTTTTGAATTGCTGGTCTAATATTCTCCATAATTCAGTCTATATGGAGTTTTCCTGCATGGCACCAGTACTGTAAAATACATTCTGTGTTTGACAGCATACATACCATTAACTAGCAAATCTTTAAACAGCATTCTTGCATTTCAAACACACAGCGGACCAAATTCAGCCCTACTGTAATTCCATTGCAGCCTATAAAGTCGTACCAGAGATGACACACGATGTTCTATACACGGTGTTCTCAATTTCAGTAAACCTAATATGTTCCATGTTGTGCACTGTGTATTTTTAACTCAATAGAGATTAGATTCTACAAGTATGGGCAACCAATAAGACGGAGCAAATAGTTTTAGGTAATAAGGGCCTATATCAATCTTCTCCCAAAACCTGAACCAAACGTAATCCTGAATCCAAAGTTGTTCTTTTTTAGGCTTTCATATCTGCCCTCCGCCCATCAATTTTGTATGTCACTTAATTGCCTGGAAAGAGCAGTGGAAGTGCCAAAACAGGAGCATGGCATCTACTCTACAGGATCGGGGCATTGGTTCATCATCTCTGAAATCCAAACTATGACAGTGGCAAATGCCTGATGCTTCAGAAGAAGGGAGGGAAATCCATAATACACCTGACCAATTTTGCCATGTCATACAAAGGGATAGGACAGTGTGGGGTGGGGCGAGCTGACCAGGATATGAGATTTGATTAGCTCTTTACAGGAGACAGGCATGGCTACAGCTGAATGGTTGGTTTTAAAATTACCCCTTTATATCAAGCTAGAGTACTTGATTCTGTGACCCTCCTAATAGTGAATTTTATGGTGATAAATGTTTCTCATGGTGTTTTCTGTCAGGTGGGAAGCACCTCCAAGAAGCTGTGCATTTTTGCTCCCACTTTCACAAATTCAAGAGCCTCCATTCTGCTCTTCAGGTCTTCCATGCTGCCTGGATAATGTCCCCATTCACTCTCTGGGGATCAACTGAGAGCTGATACTACATAATGAATCTTCCAAAGCAGATGTTCTTCTCTTACTCTGTGAATATGTTCTGCAACAGTTACCATGTGAACCACGATAAAGGAGTTTAATGTTGTCTCTAGTGAGTGTCCACCTGCCAGTGCAAATTCTGATATGCATTCATTTCCTAAAATGTAATGGTAGTTCTTACTTACAAGCTCATTTCTTTCTTCTGACAGCAATGCATTCCGATCTTCCAGTTTCCGGATGATTGCACTTAGCTCAGCAATTTTAAGTTGGAAACGCCGGGCATCTTTTTCATCCAGCTGCTGTTCCTAAAACAAAGACCAACTGCAAATAACTGTTCATAAGATCAAACTTTTTCAAAGACACCAACTTTGTTCTTGTCTGAATCCAACTATTTCTAACCTATTACACAGGAGAATGTAATCTGTGCCTTAGTATGGGGGTTCTCAACTGTTTTCTTCCTGAGGCCCCTCAACATGCTATAAAAACTCTACAGCCCACCAGTGCTACAACAACTGCTTTTCTGCATATAAAAGCCAGGACCAGCATTAAGGGATAGCAAGCAGGACAATTCCCCGGACTCCACACCACAGGGGTCTCCGCAAAGCTAAGGTGCTCAGGCTCTGGCTTCAGCCCCAGGTGGCAGGGCTGGGAGCCCTGGGCTTCAGCCCCACACAGCGGGGATTCAGCTTTCTCCCCTGGGCCCCAGCAAGTCTAACACTGGCCCTGCTTGGCAGCCCTCCTGAAACCTGCCAGGTGCCCCGGGCCCCTGGTTGAGAACCGCTGCCTTAGAACTGAAAACTGCAAGATGAGACCAACAGAAGATTGAAGGAGCAGAAATGTAAGAAAGTATGCAAATGCAAAAGTATATATGCAAATACAGAATCACAAATGTTAAACTTGGAAACATGAAAGACAAAAATTGAAAACTAAGGCAATGTTTCCAATATATGCCACTGTTGAACTGAGTATTTCAGACATGTGACTCACTCTAAGTAGTCTGTTAAAGGGAAATTATATTTATAAATACTGAAAAATAAATGTAGGAAATCCATGCAATGATACCATTGCATAAGTTTCTCTTCTATGAAGTTGTGGCCCTACTTTAGCTTCTAATGGGTCAGTTATAAAGGTTTATGGTTTAATCGACCAAAAAGTGAAAATGTTTAAATCAAATTGTAAATGAATACAAATATAAGAAGACATGTTTTTATTCTTCTAAATCAGAAAGCAGTTACATTATATTTACAAAAGTTATAGGATTTTTTCTTTCACTAGCATTATTCTAATGTTTGATAAAACTTAAGTACAGAACTTTAATCAGAGCAAGCAAATTAAAGTCCATGATCCTAATGGAACTTTCAGAAGTTCTAGGATTCCTCATTCAACAGGTGCAGGAGAGGCTCAGAATAAAGAATAAAAAAGATTTTTTGTTTGTGTTTTCTATTATCTATACTTTTACTGAGAAAATTAAGAACCACTGCAAAATAAATCTTGATGAGAATCAACAATGAAAAAAGTTAACATATGTCGCAGACATATGAAGTCAGTTAACTGAACATTTTTACTATTAGCAAATTAATGCAGAAGCAGGAAGGTGGCATAGTTACATAGAAAGCCAATATAAAAAGGTGACTAAAGTTTAATGCCATAGGATATTGCATAATATGAAAGAAACAGTGGAGAATAGGTTAGTAGGTATTTAGTTCACTTCCTAGACCACTGGTTGAAAGCAAAAGCACTTAGCAGCATGTAAATATTAATAATAGAGATGTTCTAGTCGGACTGCAGTACCCTGTAAGCTTGAATGCTGTTGGTTACACACACTACCTTTACTGATTTCCCTTTGTAAATTGTTCTTTTACATTTGCTTACAACACATAGTGTTAGTAGACTGGAAAACTAGCACACACACACATTACTAGAAAAGCATTTGCATAATTTGTCAGCAGATACTATGTCACACTGTCAAATTAAAGCAGGTGTTTGAAGTATGATACATTTTAAAAAATTGAATATTTCACCTTACTAACAAAAACCAAACTAAACCGAAAAAGCAAAAGCTTTCCCATGATCAGATTTGATTCTAGTTTTAAAGATCCCACTATTGAATTGCCGCATTAAAGGAAATCTCCTTGGTTTGCTCTGTACTGCTATGGGAAAGCTGTTGCTTAAAATGTGCACTCATCAAGATTTTGTCATTTGTTGTTTGCTTGTTTAGGTGAAACCACGTGAAAGTGCTTACGGGGCTTCCTGAATGATCTGAAGCGTCTCCTGCACCACTTGCATAAGGAAGTTCCCGTTTGGGGCTGCTCAGATGCCGATCAGACTCTTTGATCTGGGAAAGTTGTTCATCTAAAGCCTCCTTTTGGAGCTGAAGTCTCTGAGCATGCCCGGCTTGAACCCCTAACTCTCTTTCCAGCACGTAGACTGCTCTGTCTTTAAATTTTATCTCCTCCATCTACAAGGAGAACAAAATACAATCACACAAGCATGCATGTTACAGGTCTCTGGTTACCATGGAAACTGGCAGCATCACACTAGCACAGCATCTTGGACTGTACCCAGTGGCAACCATATCACAGTCAGTTTCACAGATTTGACATTCCTTAACACAAAAAACACCCTTTGGAAAATAAAATAGCAATGAGTGTTTGACAATGGCCATATGAACGGAATTGCTTAATTGCTTCAGTAATTATTTCTATATTTTTAACTACTTTGGGAGCCACCCAGCAGAAATGATCATTTTGCACCAAGAGTTTCTCAGCTACTGTATCTATTTATTGTTATTGAATTATTAGTATCAGGTCCCAGGAGCTTTGAATTAGAGATGGGTCCAAATCAATGCTCAAGAACCCACCCAAACTTTGCAGAGCAAATGGTTTGGAATTTATATCTGGTTGCTAATTTAAGAGCGGGACCCTACCTGAATGCTGGGCTGACCCTGGACATGAAACAACCAAATTTTGGGATTGGAGGGAGGCCAAAAGATTAAAACCCCAAAATTTGGAATTTTGACAGTTACAGTCTTATTTACTTTAAGGATCTGAATTTTACCTTTGTGCAGAAGACCAACCATGTATTGCTTAATAAATAATAATTCTCCAAGAGCCTAAATAGTCCTTTTGTGATTGTGATAATATACACTACTGTAATAGAACTACAGCATCTTCACCAGTTAGGTTACACCAATATCCAGTACATATGGAAATACAAGATACTACACTCACAAGTTACATGGTTGTCAAATATACTTGCAGATAATGAATCAGTGTGGGAAAAATTAATCATGTCAACTTCCTAAAGCAACCATATTGTTCCTAACTTCAGACACCATATTATATGTGTGTGTGTGTGTGTATATATAATCTTTGTAGTACTTTAAATACTCCTGAAACACTACACATTTAAATGAAACAAGCAGCTTTTTTAACAGTGAGCTGTTCATAGACAGAATGCTTTCCCCTTAATGGGACAGACAGTAAGAACTGGGCAGTCTACTGGTTTTTGGTTGTTTTGTTTTTTATAGGATTGTTCCCAAACACAGATAAAAATGGAGGAATTAATTAGCCGAATATTTCATTGAATTAATTTGCTTTAAATTATTAATATCATGGTCAAACACAGGACTAAGAGACAAAAAAACCCCACAGTTTTTCTTAAGTTATATCTGTTTCAAAGTGATTCTTGTTCATAAGACTGATTAGTACTGGACTCAGTTTTACAATCCTTAGCACCAGTATCCACACAAAGATAGTATCAGACATTTAAGATTGTGAAACAGATTGATGCAAATAAGGAAATTCAGAGTCAAGGCTGACATTCCCTTCATAGCAATCCTGTTGTGTCTAAATACTGTAGCTGATGCAATACATAACACCACATATGGCACACCATCCCTAGTACCTAAGATCACACTATGACCTAAGGGCTAGATTTTTAAAGGTATTTAGGGACCTAACTCCTACTTCCAGACTTTTCATACTGTGTAGGGAATATCTACTGTCTGGTCATTGTTTAGCAGAGCTGTGTGTAATATGTACACAAAACTGCAAATCTACTTGCATTGAGCCTGGGGCTAGAGATGCTACATGTGAAATTCTGGCCCCACTGAAGTTTTGCCAATGACTTCAGTGGAGTCAGGATTCCACCCTATGTGTTTGAGAATCTCAGTCCAGTATTTGAAAATTCAGTTGGGAAGCTGAGCACAATCCCTCCCCTAGCTGCTCTCCTTCCTCAAAAGCCCCAGTAAAGGTATCTATGATGAGAGGAGAGGAATATATATCTATTAGTTTTGCAATGGCAATCATCTTGTCCACTGATTATTTTCAAAATACAGAGCCCTCCTATTGTGCAGACTCTGGGATAAGAGCAGCAAAGTACACAACACTCAATTTTCATTATCTGAAAGTACTAGCAACACCTGCAGTAACAATGGAGGGATATGTGCTCTAGCTAAAGTATTCACAATTCCTCACCGGCTTTGCACATCCTAAAATAAAAACAATAAACCCATAAGTGGGATCTACAATATTATAGGAAGTAAATACAGAGTCTAATTGAAGAAAAACAAGTATTGTTTGTAAACTACCTTTGTGAAAAGGACATGTAAAAATTAAATACGTGCATGTATGATATTTTTCTATGCAAAAGTTAGTCTCCTTAGAAAACTGAGGAAATAAAATACATTTTGTGTACTACTTTATTAAAGATGCTTTAAAATAGTGAATTCCTAGGAATGCAGCAATCTACTAAAGTTTGCCTCATAACAAAGAGATGTCTGATGAACTCTTCTCATGGCATGCATTATCAAACAGTAAACTAAGAGACTTTAAATGAAAAATATCTATATAGCCAAAGTCTCACTTATGTGAACACAAAGAAATTCTGTAACACAGACAACATTTTCAATTAAGAAAAACATGAAAAAGATTCAACAAAATAATTATATTCTAGTAAGCTTTTGATTTCTGCAAAAAAAAAAAAGACTAAATCTTAGCTTAGTGAGGAAATAAGAAAACATTAATATTCACATCTTTCCTATCTGTTTAAGTTCATAGTTATGGATTAAATACAATGTTCTTATATTTACAGTTAAACATAAATATATTGTTAAACATAAATATATTCATATAATTTTATAGCAGCAAAATGCATTGAATAAATGAAGAAAGCATTTTTAAAAGATTATTTTACAGGGTTTTTTTCTTCACAGCATTAATAACATTAAGGTGCTGTTAAAAAAGAAAATTATTTGCCACTCACTGAAAGATCTTTGTGAATTTCCAGGTGTGTGTCCAAAACAAAGATATTGCACACAGTTGTTTCATTACTCTACATAGAAACAATGAAGTGCCTTCGATTAATGTGGCTACCTTCCTTATATTTGTATATGGTTGCTTTAGATAACAGGACTACTTGTGAAACAATGTCAATGAATATATATGAGCACAGTATCCAATCGTCTAAAGGAGAATGTCTTGCTTACCAGTGTGGATATTCCCACTTTATTTTTAGCAGGCTGTCTCCACCTAGAATGAATTTTTATGCTGAAGTGCTAATTAATAAACAGCCAGTGCGCATAGCTACTGCCAATTATGCAAATGTAAAGGCATGAAAAGTTGGGTCCCCCCATCCCTTGTGCTAGCAAATAAAATTTCTAATATTTTTCATCAAACTGATTTCAAACCCTATGACATGATCTCTAGGGCAATATAAAAATCAATATGTAAGCTTCAATGCTGTAGAAATTTCCTCTTATAATGTTCACAGGGCATTTATAGCTCTGCAGTCTCCATAAACATCATTAACATGACTGTAAACAGCAGAAATCTGCTTTTGAAGGTTCGTATGTCTATGCTCAAAAAGCCAAAGCTATTCCCAGAAAAAGGTTTTAATTGCAAATGAGAAAATCCTTGCCAAAGAAGAGGCTGTTACATGACATAAACATTTCCCCATAGGCAGCATGTCAGAGCAAGCAATTAGAATGTTTAAAATAATCTGCATTAGCGATCAGTTTCAGAAGTTCCGGTAAATGAGCTGTCAATCATTTATTAGTGGAATGGTAACTAAAAGAAAGGGGATCTCTTCTCAAGTCAGTCTCTCTGACCTTTTGGGGATGCGCACTTGCACTCTGACAGAAGGAGAGACCCAGGGAACGTCTCTATATGCAATAGCACTTACCCTCATTCAATTTTCCTTCATATTCCTTCTTTCAGCATGAAGATTTTCTCAGTGTTTTGAAATACATTAATATATTTGCCTCTTTGGATCTTTTCTAATGTTTGTCACTACAGAGGAGTAGCTAACCACTTTGTGTCCTTGGCAAACTAATTGCACTGGAGGGAATAACTCAGAACATTGTACCAGTATTACACAATTGTATACTATGTTTTATATTTTATAAATTGATTGGGTATGAGGTCTCCCAGTGAAGGGATACTGTCAACTAGTCAAAGTCCAAAATGTCAATTAACTCCTGCTAAATATTCTAAGCACATCTAAGCTGAGCATATGTGCTGTATCAACCCAACATTGATTTCAGTCATTCAGTCCATTCACTTATGAATAGATGATAGCAACACAGCAGATGCAGTGGAAGACAAGCAGTGAAAGGGTGATTATGTTGTTGTTGTTGATAATGAAATATCCTTCCATCTTCCTAAATAGCTTGAAAAATTCACACTCCAGATCCAATACAAAAACAACAAAAAGAACTATAGTCTCTGTTTACTGATTTCATTTTTCATATGTATTTATTTTGCCTGGCATCCATCCATGTAGCATGTGCACACAATCCATATGTTAAAGCAAAATTGAATTAAATCAAACTGGTGCTGGATGAACAGCACCCCTTCCTCAACTGCCTAACCAATCATATGTAACTCAGAACTGGTCCATGGGCAAGCAAATGCCAAATGGACAAAGTTCACTCTCAAGGTGAGTAAATTTCTAATGAAAGTTTACCAGAAACACTCTGCCTACTATCCCTGAAGTGCACATCTGGGGAATGTGAGCAAAAGCACTCAAACATCATAGGTTACACTTTATAAAACAGACTAAATTTGTGCCTGCAATTCACAGCTGCTAAGTTTTGTGCATCTTCGTATGTGACATTTCTCAACAGTGAAAAATGTCAGATTTCCCTCCCAGGTGCCCCTATCAATAGCAGCAGGCTTGCGGGAGGCAGGAGCATATTGCCTGCAGACTTCAGAAGCCAGGGGGAGTTGGGGAGAACAAGGGGCAGACACGTATGCTGGGGAAACCAGGGATGACCAAGGTAGTAATGATTAAGGCACTGGACTGGGACTTGGGTGATCTGGGTTCCCAGTTCTGCTAGTTCTGTGAGCCCTGGGCCAACTTTCTTGGTGTCTCACTTCCCTGTAAAATGGGGATAATAATCCCTCCATTCTCTCATCGATTTTGATTGTAAGCTCTTCCAGGCTGGAACTGTTCTTC